GGTACTGGAGGTATTCTGATCTCTGACGGGGCCGGGGGTTTTCGGGTGCTGTTGTTTCGTGTGGTTGCTACTGTGCCAGCGCGGCTGAGGTGGATGCTGGGGATTGTGCGGATGTGTGGGAGTGATGGAGGGAGGGAGGGCACGGGGTTCGGTGTGGAGGAGGTGACGGTGGTGTGGAACATGTGCAGTTTCTCGATTATCGAGACGAGGATCTCGACGAGGCTTGTGGCGTCGGTTTCCTGTGTTTCGAACATGTAGGTGACTTTCCCCATGCCTGAGTATTCATGCTGGTGTTTGACGAGCGTGCTGAACTTGGGGCCCGCGAAGCAGTTTGAGGTTATGGAGCCGATGAAGCGGACGGGACCGTTAACTGCAGGGTTATATCAGTATAATGTTATCAGGTATGGGAAGGGTGAAGGGCAGGGTGGTGCTCACTGTACTGCCGCAGAACATATTCCCCGTTCCTGCTCTGTAGGATTAAGTTCACGCCATTCGACTCATAGCACGGCACAAGAAACAGAGTCGAGTTCTTGAAGTGATTACTCAAGTTCATCCTCGCCGCCTGTGCCTCTCCCTTCTCGCGGATCGCATATCCGGGCTCCGTGACCAGGCGCTGGATATTCATTTGGAAGATGGCATCATCCTCTAGGTCGTCCTCAAGCCCCAACGTATTTACCCCAGCCAGCGCAACCGTCTTTTTCAGTAGCGCCAGTACCTTCTCCGCCTCTGAAGCGCTGTGCTTTCCACCTGAATTCCGACGGAAGGTCCCACTGCGACTCCGGCTCTCTTTCATGTCTGTAAATACTAGTCGTACTTGACTCCGCACAGGCACCGATACCTTACTGCCTTCACAGGTTCTCACTCGGACGCGGTTCATGGTGAGGATGGTCGAGGTCTTGCCATATACGAGAGCTGGCTCAAAGCCGCGACCAATGTCAAGCACTGTCCGCTCCACTTGCTCGCCGAAGCGCAGCGTCACCCGCGCGAAGCGCAGGTATGCGTCGTCCTTGAAGCTGATTGCGTCGAGCGTGCTAGCGGCGAGCACGGATGACTTGGGCGCGCTTTTATATGTCGCGAAGCCAATCCTGTCGACGGTTGCATCGAGGCGCTTCCACTCGTTGTCAATGAGGACCTCAAAGTCGACAGCGACACGGCGCAGGTAGGGCGTTTGTTTGGCGCAGTTAGAAATGATGTAAAGGCGCTCCTTTGACTTTTGGACGCCGCAGTCGAAGCCGATGCCGAATGGATGGACCTTTTCTTTGCGCGAGGACTGAAGGAACCGTTTTGCGGCGAGGGCATTGAGCAAATCGATAATGGCGGAGAAAGCCTCGTCGGCGGCGGCCGTGAGGAACTTGATGCGCACAAAGTGGGATTCAGCACCGGTGTCCGGGTTGCAGCAGGTGCCATAAAGTTTCCATGAGAAGTCGCGCTTGATGTCGCGCACGCAGCGGGTTGAGAGGGTACTGTGAAATTGGGAGCAACGCTTCTTCACTGTGTTGTGGAACTGGTCAGCATTCTGTCCATTCTATTCTCTCCCCTGAGCTTAATTCCTCCGGGCGCACATACGCCATGAACTCTCGGATCCACCAGAAGACTTCAAGAAGTAGGACCCGGGCTCAAACAGTGCCAGTGGTGTTATCACTGCGCTTTTTGTCCGCCCCCGCTTCTCGCCCGGCTCGGTCTTTGGCAAGCTCCATGCTACGTATTCGAGCTCTCTACAAAGAGGTGAGTATTTAGTTAGTTACTTTCTTCTTCTTCCTCGCGAGCAAGTAAGGGTGTGTAATTACAGATTTCCGACGGCCCTCACTTTCTCCATCTCGAGCTCCGCGACGCCTTGAGAGTCGGTCCTGGTGGTTGATGTTGTTGCGGCAGTGGCTTCCATGGCCGCGTGGGCAGCCGCTGATGCTGATCTGGTGCGTTGACTCATTATGTTGTATAAGATTGGTGTCTTCTGTCCAGCAGCAAGTAATGTGGTTTAAATTCTCGATATTGAAACGAGAAAAGAAGAAATTAAAGGAAGAGAATTAAGAAAGAAGATACTAAGTATAAAGGACCAGGAGGGACCAGGGAGAACCAGGCACACCAAAAAAATCTTACCCGGTACCACGCACTCACATGAAAACACACGTTCTAGAGCAAAGTAAGTATGAAGGAGGCAGAGCTTATATCTTTTCTATCGCTCCCTTCTTACCCCTTAAGCGCAGGAAGTGGCGGCCTCCCTAGCAATCATATAAAGATAGCCAATAGCAAACTGTGGCCGGGCTGGGGCATCTGTTTCGACTACTTTAGCTCAAGTGGTCTGTCGGGTTTTCCACAAATAACAAGCGAATCAACGGCAGGCGCTTAACGAGAACATTCAACAGATAGATGTGCACCTGCCCAGAAGAAGAGTGGGTTATTATCCGCTGGGTAATATTCCTTGTCTTCCGTTTTGGTGCACCGATAGAGTACCTGTAGATAGCCATTTCTGGGTCAATGGATGAAATTAATTTGTCCTTAGCAAAAACAAAGTAGAAAAATCCAACAATGAGAAAAACAAGCGGAATTATGCTTTCTAGAACAACTTTTAAATGCAGGATAACTTTCACCATCTGCCCTGGCTGGTTTGGTCATTGGCTCTTAGTCTAGGTAGGTTCGCTATTGACCCAGAGAATACTGCACTTATCGCCGCACGGTGCAAATTTCTCTGTTACCACTTCAATATCCTTAGTATATTTGCAGGTACAATATCACATCAACTGAAATAAACAGAGACCGACCTCATCTTCTCATCGATCATCCTCGTTGCCCAAAGACTATAGAGTATTATCCTAGGCAAGCCTGTTGTACCTGCATAGTGGGACCCCCTGCCGCGCTCCTGTTTCAAGATTCAAGCCAAACAATCGCCGCCCAGTCCGTTCCATGAAGCTAAGCGTCATCGTGGAGCCGCATTTGCATACACCTCCGAAGAGTCTGTAACAAGCGTTGGTGGTCTTTTTTTGGCCCAGCCCAACCCTAACCCTGCAAGAATAACAGAAGCCCGCCCTTGTTGGTTTCGGATGTGAGCGCGTGGCACGCTATGTACGGTACGGCGGGATGAGATCATGCATCGTGTTCTGGCGGCGCCAGGTGGTTAGAGATGGAATGCTCGCGGAAGGTGTCTTGAATACAATGTCTGTGATCTTACACAAACGCCCCCAGATTAACTTTTCGTGTCATTTATAGGGCTGGGAATGGGACTTGGCCGGTTTCAGCCTGTTCTGGATCCTGTTTCGGGACGAATAGAAAATTGGTTCTTGGGATCTTGAAAATGAGTGGATATGGGAGGAGAAGATGCAGAAGGGTTGTCTTTACAAGTCACCCGTGCGGAGAGAAGAGCAGAGGAGAGGAAATGTCCCTTTGATACGCTAGCTCTATAGTATGTAATCTGGTCTTTCAAATATTGACTCTCACACGGGATACGTGACTATATGTTAGGCCAAGTGTTCAGAGCTTGCAAACATTTCATTCGTGTAGACTTTCTATTCCATCAATCATCTTTCAATCTTATCGTCCAATTGTTTGGTTCCGCATGAACAACCATATCACCAACAAAAGCCAACATCAACAGAAAATCAATAATCTGACGTACAGTCCCCGAAACACAGCATTTGGAATTCCCATGTAAGCTGGTAATCGAGGACAGTTCCTCATAGGGCATCACTCGTGTTTCTTTTGCCCCGCCAAGATCCCTGCACGGGCCTACTCGGCCAGTGTGCAAAAAATGCCTAATAGATGTCAATAGAAATTGCACTCTACGCATGAAGTGTGACCATCTCCCCCGCCGCCATTTATCACTGGGTAACAATAGGGCGTCTAGCTACATACATACATACTAGGGGTGTGCCAACTCGCGACCGCGAGTTGTACGTTGAATTATGGGTATCAAATAAAATTTAATTCTCCCTCTACAATCATGAGGGGCCTTCGGTCCCATCCTCCTCCTCTCGTGAGTGCTCAGTACTTTGATGTGTCGTGCTGACTAATCAACATCCCTGCACTCAGCAGCCAATCAGACCGTTCCAATAATAGAAAAAATAGAGACAGTACATTATAGATGCTCACCAGAGGCTACAGCACCACTGCAGAAACGCGGGCCAGTTCCCTCTCCGCTGCAGGTAGTTCGGAGACCACAATTACCACATGCTGCCCACCCTTCCTCATCATACTGGACGAACCGAACGCCCTACCCATGGTCAGGGTTCACTCGCCACCCTAGTTACCCCAGAAAGAAATTAAACTCTCTCTCGGTAGCACGGGATTGGGTCTGGGGTAGAGTAGGTTTGTGCATGTGACGGGTGCTTATCTAGGTGGAGTTGGTGGATAAGCTTTTATGCCAATGATGGCATCTGAGGTTTTCAGGCTCCAGGGGAGTGGTTAGAGGACTGACGAGCATCCCCGTTCGTCTCTGGGCCAGTTTCGTTGTTGTCCCATATTCTACCAGGGAAGCTGTACTCTAATAGCTGGCAACGAGTAGGTCCAATTTGCTTCGGGATTTCGAGACTTTAGGCTCTTTGGCTGGTGTTAAGTCCCCTTTCTTCCAGTAGAATCCACTGATAATGCTGAACTACCCGGCCAATGATCTCTCGACTGAAAAAAATGCAAACTGCACGCGCAGCCACAATCAACCGGCTAATTGCACACGTGAAGCTCTACATGCTCATACGGTACTGTAGGCTTACAAATAACACCGCAGCAGTGTTAGCGCTGACCGTGGGGGCCAGGGCAGTACTCTATCAAAAAAAACTCTAAACCTACGCGAAGGCGCAGTCTGTACTCTCGCAGCGAGAGCTTTTAAGTGCGGAATCCAGAGTGCAGCCCTAGCTGTAATATGCAAGTCAATAAACCCAGGGCTATTATAAGCTTATCCTACATACATAGTTACATCAAAAAGGAAAACCCAAACGATCAAACAAACCCTTTTTTCCCGAAAACTCCGTTGAAGCTAAAAACAAAAAAAATATCATGAACTACCAGCTATCTCAAGCCACAAGAGCAACACTCTTCCCCGCCTCCATCATCCCCTCAGGTGGTGGTAGATCCTCCTATTGGATAATATTAGCAAACCCTGACTTCGCCTACCAGTCGAAAGAGGGGGAAGACAAACCGGCTCAAAGATAACCTCAATCATGAGCGAGCAGCTAGGACAGACAGCGACATTCTCGCCGTCGCGCAGGTCATCGATCGAGATCTCGAAGCGGTCGCCGCACGGGCACGGGTAGTGGTAGATCTGCATTGCTGGGTCAAAGGTCATATCCTCGATCTCGATCTGGTCGTATATAGACTCTGCCATGGTGGTTGTGTGTTGTGTGTTGTTAGGATGATGAGAGAGAGAGCTGTCTGTCTGGTGGGGTTCAAACATAAAAAAAAATTGTTTAAAGAGGCGTGCCACTGGTAGTGACTAAGGACAGGGAGCTACCTCGGCTTACTAACGCGAAGAGGTAAGGTGTTGCGGGCAGCGGAAGGACGCCGAAGACAGAAACAAGCAAGTGCTAACCGGGTTGACTGGCAGCTGAGGTCGCTCACTGCAACTTGGAATTCGGAATCTCACTCGAAGCCTGCACAGTGCAGTGCAGCGTGGGATCTCAGCCTCATTCGTGATGTTTATTGCAGCTAGGGTACATTCTCTAGAGTAATTGGCTAGCCGGCTGGGCATGCGAGTGAAGCTTTTTTATCTTACTCTATTTTCTTTTGGGCGTCCATTTAATTTAGAAATATGAGACAGCTGCATGCCATGCTAGCTTGTGCTTATACGATATAATAGCTCTTACTGGCGTCCCACTCACTCACCTCCGGCCGCTCATTCACTTCTTCTCTCACTCTCTCACTCTCTCACTCTCTCGCTCTCTCACTCTCTCACTCTCTCACTCACTCACTCACTCACTCACTCACTCACTCTCTCACTCCCTACAATATAAACCCCCAGGGCGCCTCCCTGCTCCCTCTCACGCTCCCTCCTTCGACTCCATCCCCTCACGCACAATGTCCGGCTACACCAACCCCCCACCCATGGACGCCACCTCGCCCACCTCCGACGACGAGGAACCAACAGGCACGAGCTCCTCTGCGCGCTGGAACATCGGTCCAGCGGCCACAAACGCAGACTGCACAAGCTTCTTCAACACCTGCTGCGGCGCAATCTTTATCTGCTGTGGAGAGTACTTGGCGATCTTTACGGGGTGCTTTGAGTGCTGTGAGAGCTGCTGTGTGGAGTGTTTGAAGTGCGGGTGTAATTCGTAGATGTAGAGGAGGGTAGGAGGGTATGTTGATCCTTTGGTGGTAGTTGGGGAGCGTAGTGAGGGGTGAGGAGGGAGGGTGTGTTAATTGTGTTGGGGCGATAGGCATAGACGGGTACGCACATATTATTACGGTAGTTGGCAGCTACAGCTACAGTAGTATGTACAGCTACTTCATTTCAATTCACCATACGGAACCTCTCATTTCATTACCATCATTACCGTCGTTACTATCATCACTATCATATACATATCACACATCCTCCCCAAGCAACGAACACATGACACGACACAATACGACACGCGCGCAATTTTTTTTTTTCACGACAGATATGCACCTGTTCTCCAAGCCACTCTGCACTTTTTGCTAAAAGGGGTGGAGGTGGGCTGTGGATCAATGTCAGGGTTAGGGGTAGGGTCTGTGGGACCGGCCGGTCTGTGCCACATTCCGCATCCTAGACAGAGCATGCGATTGTGAGGCGTGGAATTGGTGAGGCGCAGGAACGAGAACAGCTGCGGATAAGGAAAGAGCGGGAGAGGGGAAAGGGAAGGGAGTGGGGGGTTGGATTGGATGCCGGCGTTGGGCGTTGGGCATGGGTTTTTTTTTTTGATACTTTGTTTTGTTTGTATATATCGAGAGGGATCAATGGATTGCAATGGGAATATCATTAGGAATTGCTACTACAGGGGCTGGTTCAATTGGGGGCTTGTGAAGATTGGATTGATTTTGGAAACGGAGATTAGGGGCGTGGGATTCGTGGATTGGTACGTAGACCCTTGCGGGGATCGAGCGGTGGAGGGGGTTGTGGGCTGCGAGTGAGAGGTTGTGATTCAACTGGTTGAGTCGGTTCTTGTGATGCCGGTGCCAATGCTGCAGAGTATCACAACGTCAAGAAATGCGCATGCACGGGAATGTTCAAGTGGTCTTGTGGTTATATCTAATTCTAATCTGTAGTCAAGACCACCTATCAGTTCTGTCCTGTCCACCAGTTGGTTATGCTGTCGTTGGTACTCTACTCTACTGCGCATGCAGTAAAGTAATCTAATCATCGCACATCCAGCTGCCAGTCAGTCCTCATCTCCCCACTACCAGTGCGTTCTCTAAATCCCAATCATACCCTCGATGCTCCGCCAGCCCTCCCAATTGATTATAACTCCGGCCACAACATCTGCCATCGGGGACCCTGAGCTCCTGCTGCCTAGCCGCCTCCGTCTCGTCCAATCGGCGACCAGCAACTGACCAGCCAATCAGGATGCACGCTCTTTAGCGCGGCATTGCGGGGTACCTCGTGTCCCCGCACCTCTACTCTAACCTTCCTACTACAGCGACACAGGGTAGGGGCAGGGTTGGTTAAGGGTTTGTTTTGTCTCGTCCCCAGCTCATCAAGAGAAGCTGGGTGCAAGACAAAGGATTCACAGCAGATGGGATTTGGGGCGAGATATGGAATAGTAGATTTAAGGATACCGACATTTAGCTGGCGTCCTCTTTTGTTTATCTCGCAAACAATTCTTATGGCATAGCAGTTACAAGACAAAAAATCCTCAATGGCAATATCAAAAAACGCTCATCGATTGGTAATATTAAAAACACGAACTCGTCCTTCTGGCAGAGTAACAGCTACGAGAACCCGCACCACAGTACCATGCATAGCAAGATGCAGATTATCACAAGAGCGCCATAATCCCTGCGCTCTCCCACGAATTTCACTGGGAGGAATGACGGATGGGAGAAAGAGAGAAAAAAGGAACCAACATTGTATCGCGCAGCAGAGCAATGTCAAGTTCCATATCTGGCAATGACGTAGTCGAGGAGGCGGTAATATTGTGATTCTTACTTTGGTGCCCTTGGGTTCCCCGGGTATGTGGCTTGTTATTTCTTTCGAGTTTTTAACGGTAGGTAGAGGTAGGTATGGTATGGTAGGGTCCAAATATCGACACACATATCACACGCAAAAACCGCAGTGTAGAAGGGAGCAAGAAGAGAAGACAAAGAAATATTGGACAAAAAAGAGCGAGAAAAAAAAATGAAAAACCCGTTAAATTTTTTTAGAGAAAAAAAACCCCCGCAATTACCCAAAGAAGAAGAGTGCGCAAGAAATCTATGATGTCTTCTCGGCAATCTTCTTCTCGACGTTCTTCCGCCTCTCCTCGCGGGAGATCTTGCGGAGACGGTACTTGTTGGACTCGCCCTTCCAGTAGTCCTTGCCCTTGGAGTCCTTGTTGTCGGGGTCCTCGAGGTTGGGGTTCTCGCGGATCTTGGCGTGGGCCTCCTGGTACATCTCCTCAAGACCATCGGCTGTGGATGTATAACGTTAGTGCGGTTGTTGGGACATAAACCTACCCTGAAGAATGGGTGGGGGGAGTTTCGAACTGCATTCTGGGGGTAAACCATACCTTCAATACCGTCATCCAAGTACTGCTGGAACTGGGACTTGTAGCGCTCCTCATCATCGTCGGCAAGAGTCTCCATGTACTCAGCAACGTGACCGCCAAAGATGTACTTCCTCAGCACCTCAGCCTCCAACTCCTTAGTCTCAATGTCGAATCCAGGGAACCTGGACTCTGAGTGGGGGATGTGGATTCCACCATCGCTGGCACCCTTCATGGCACCGAAAACACGGGCACCAGTGGAGGTCCTCTTAAGACCGACATCGAGAACGGCCTTGAAGGGGCGGCGGCCCTCCTCAGACTCCTCGGTGAGCTTGTACTCACCGTCGGCCTCGGCAACACCCTCGAATTCCTCGTTCAGGCCGAGCTTGGTGAGAGTACGGCGGGCGAGAAGGAGACCGGTAGCGTAGGCGGCGGCCCAGTTGGTGAGACCGTGCTTGATGCCGTAGCGGGGGAGCTCGTGCGAGTAGGCGGCGGCGAGGACCTTGTCACCGACAATCTCAGAGGAGATGATCTGCATGATGATCTATATTCCCGACAAAAATTCCCCCACAATCAGCTCTCCTGTTTCCTGTATCTCGAATTTCTGATCTGGAATCTCGGGAAAAAAACGTACGTCCTTGTTGGTGAAGCGGACAACGAGCCTGTACTTGGGCGCATTGTACTTGTTCTTCGCCTGGGTGATCAACCTCTTACGGGCATAGTAATCGGTCTTTCCCTCACGTCTACGACGGTACTTGGTCTGGTAGCGTGAGTAGTACGCACGGTTCTTGACGACCTTGGTGAACGGCTATTTTTCCCCATCAAAAATCCCATAATTAGCGAATTGATCCCAGAAGCTCCAAATTCCTTCGATGATGATGACGTTAGAGCTTACCATTTTGAATACTGTCGATTGAGGATGGGGCGGTGGGGTTTGGTTGTTGAAGGTATTCTCTTTTTTTTTTGTGAGTATCGCGGCCTGCCCCAGCAGCTGGTTGAGGTCTGATTTGTGTGGGTGGGCTCAGTAAGATTGCCCTAATCAGTTCGCCCTAAGCCAGGTGACTGCTCATGTGGCTAGTGGTGTGGCTAGTGGTGTGGCAGTGACAGTGGGGCGAGGCGGCGGGGATCCGGCAATGCGCGCTTTGTCATGGTGACCTTCCTTGGCCGTGTTACTCATCCGCGCGGGAGGGGCTCTCATTTGTCTGCAACCATCATCTCTCCTCTCTTCCCCTCTCCATCCCTCCATCCCTCAATCCTTTGTTCCCCCCCCTTCCTTCCCCATGATACTGCGATAATAGCAGCACATCACCACTCATTCCTTCCCCCCCCTTCCCCTCCCTCCCCCCGCAAGCAAACAACCAAACACCACAGCAGTTCTTGGCCCCTCATGTTCGCTCGGACCCAGGTCACGTCCAGCACCCCGTTCCAGTCCGAGTCTCTCTTCAAAACAACCGACCTGAAGGGGAAAAAAAAAAAAAAAATCTACATTCTCACCTGTTTTCGCGCGCGCCCAACCGCGCCGCTACATGAGAGAGACCGTCCGTAATTGGGGCTGATCTGTGACCGGGGTCCGAGCCGAAAAACATGTCCGGTTCCGAAGGTGCTGGTGTTTGTGCTGTTTGTGTGGTTTGTGGGTAGGTTTTTTTTTTGTATGTATGGACTTGATGTGGGCGGAGTGCGGTCGGGCGGGGGAGAGGATGTATAATCCATTGTTTGTGGTGGTGGGTATTAACCGGTGGTGATAATGACTTTTGGCTTTCCTTCATCCGGTGTTTCTTGTTTTCATTTTCTTGCTGGTTTTTTTCCTTGTTTTTTGATAGAGGTATCAGAGGGAATGATGACTGTTATTTTTCTCCTCTTTTTCTCACTTATCACTATCACCTCCCCACGTCCCCCATGCTGTCCCAACACACTCGACGGGCTGTATGGGGTTGCTCATTCACTTGAGCACCAGGGGAGAGAATATCGCGACATTTTATGCATAGTTCCGGCGCTTCCTTTTCAATGGGGTCAGATCGGTGGGAAATATTCACTTGTCCTACATATCAATGATATCATATCACGTTTTTTGTATCATTTCCTTTCTTCTTGTTTAGAATGTTCATGTTATTATCAAAGCCGCATTGTGCCGTGCCTACATGTATTTGTGTGATAACATCCAAGGAACATAGAGTGGTGGGTGGAAGGCGGAAAGAATAATATGAAAAGGAAAACATTGAGGATGAGAACAGGACCGAATCCCCTCCAGAAACAGAGTTAAAAATCGCTATCTTAAAAAGAGACCTTCTACCCTTCACCCACCACATCACAACCCACCAATATCCTTAACTACGCCAGTCCAGTCCAGTCCGTCAGTCCGTCAATCTAAAACCCTTCTCTTTCTCCTCCATAGCATGCAGTTCCGACGGACCCCACAATCAAGAAAGAAAAATACAACCCGAAGTAAAGGAACACCAGAATAAGCAAACAAGCGGAGGGGATAAATCTAGGAAGTTTTAGACGCGCACCGCACCGCGTCTTCAACTCAAAAGAAAGAAATAATAAAAAAAAGAAAAGTAATATTAACCAAATTAGCTGCAGCTCACTTGACTAGCTCTCAGTTGGCACAGGAGGGCGCGGCCGTCCCTTGTACTGCTCCTCGAACCGCTTTCCCTCCGTCGAACTCAGCATACTCGGTGTCTTCTGCACTACTACGAACCCGTCAGCACTTGGAGGCTTAGGGGCAGCCCTTGCCGGCGGTTCCTCGGTACCACTGGCACTGTTTTCATTCCCGTTGCTGTCGTGGGTCGGGATTGGGGGTCTTGCCTTCCTGGATTTGGGGCTGGTAGAGCTTGGGGGAACACTGCCGGGGAACTGCTGTGAGAGCCTGTTCTTCTTCTCTTCAAGGAGAGCCTCAGCGCGACGAATAGACTCCTCGAGGAGCTTCAGCTCCGAGGACTGGAAGGTGACGGATTGCTTCCTGTTGACGAACGTTAGAGATCGGCGTTCAGGGGTAGCGGTGTGAAACATTGGGGGGGGGGGGGGGGGCAAAGTACTTTTGCTCAACGGTGGAGGCGAGCTTGTCAAGGCTATCATCGATCAAGAACGCGTCGTTCAGCTGCTCTGAGAAGGACCGCGCGATTGTCCTATTCCAGTGGTGTTAGAAATGAGGTTCTCGGAGGGGATATGTTTCTGTGGAGGGAAACGTACGAGGTTGGCCTGTAGGTGAACCTGGTGGAGCTCTGTTCTTCTGTTCCGGACATGATGGTAAATTATTTGATGATGGGTTTGTAAAATAGCTAGTCGTGATAATGTCAATTGGGAGAATGAAGAGGGACAGATGAGGTTTTATCTATCCGGCTCGATGCTTCGTGTAGATGGTGACTTGTAGCCTTGCGACGGAAACGTAACCGAATCGATTGCTTGCTTGCTTAACTGCTGCACCCCGCCGTGTTCGTTTGTTCTAAAACTTTCGGGTATGTGCGGGAAAGGAACAAGAGAGCTGCAAACGATCGATGAGAAGGGTGAGTGAGCAAGTGGGGAATCGATAGGAGGAGGGGGAAAGAGAAGGAAGAGAAGAAGGCAAGTGGAAAGGATTCGAAGGAAGACAGACAGACAGACAGACAGACAGACAGACAGACCCCAAGAGGAAGAGCGCGTCCGTGGGTCACTGTATATAATATTCTACTCTACTTCAGCTAGTCCATCCGTGACACTGACTGATAACCACACCCAAAACTCCCAAAACTAGGTACTCGTAGCATATCTAGAAAGGCAGTCTACAATTTTTTTTTTCTACGGCACTTGACCCTGGGTGGAAATTGATCAGTGGATCAACCCACGCGTGAGCGTTGGTGATGGACCCTGAGGCACTGGATGCCCCATGGCCGGTGGTGCTGGCATGTCCCTTCTTTGCCCTACCCAGGAAGGGACAACAACCCCTCCTCCCTCTTGGAGGAATGGGAGAAAAAAGTAAAAAAAGGGGCAAGGTACCAATTCATTCAAAACTCAGGGTCAGTAGGATATATACCTCGGCGGGCTTGACCAGTACCTTCTCGCATAGCACCGGTAACTACATGGCAATAATAATGCTATTATTCACTTACCTATGAGGGGTTTCTCCGCTACCATACCTCTGGTTAGTACGGTTCCTGCGCTCGGACACTATGGCGAAATGATCAGCACGAGTAATTTGGCTTTTTCTTCGTGGTGCGCAATATCCGGTCTCTTCCCCTGTGTGGTTTCCCGAGTGTGTCACGGAAAACTCGAATCAGATTGTTGTATGAGATCTGTAGAGCAAGGCATCTCTTTTTTTGTTTTGTTTTGTTATGATGTTTGTGGTGGTGGTGTAACTATTGGTTGGGGTCAGTTCTCGCGACATGACTGGACGATTTGAGGTTGTGGTGGTCCTGGTGTCTTATCAACCAGGGACTTATCTTAAGCTCGTCTCCCATCCCTGCCAGGGGTTGTAACGGGTGTCACGAGTGAGCGTTCGTGATCCGCTGACTTTGCACGGTACGACTCGTGTACATACAGTCCTATCATGACGATATTGTACCTACATCGTCATAAACTCTGCGTACAGTCACAAATCAGCGCGTGAGCTTGACCTGATCGTGCGAAGGCAGTCCATAAATCATGGGATGGGAGACCTGGTTCTCCGAGATGAGGCTCTTAGGGTATACTTTATGTGGAATATACCCTACACAGAATTATTACAGGGTCATTTCCACCTCAAACACCAATACCGCCAGTGCGGTTAGACCATAATAAATAGAGCTTGATAAATCCCAAACCAACCTTTCAGAGGTTTAAGATTCATGCGAAGGCCGCGTCCGGTCAGGGTTAGGGCTAGCACCAGCTGTACCCGAGTTCTTCGTTCGGCGCACGTTCGCCTGGTCCGTGATCGAAGTAATACAGTGTCAACTACATGTAGAGTATGTAGATAGATATATGCTTGCGGGGGAGGGGATAATTGTGGATAGTGGGGTCACGTCAGGAACGAAGCCTCAGTGGACCAGCTAGACCAGAGTTAGGACAGATGAAAACAACCAACAGCTACCCTGACACCGAGTGACGTTACTTCCTGACCAATAACTATGGCTGACGATAAGGAATGAAGCACTGTACTACAGTGCATAGCTAATGGGGCTTACGGCAGTAACACCACCACGCGTTTAAACCAAACATTTGGGGAAATGATGGGACCACACGTGGCAGGGAATGGCCTCGCAACTCCAAACACCTATCCGCCGCGGGTATAGTACAATCATGTAGCCTATCGGCAGCAAATCCCAAGAAGACTTATTTCAAACCCACGGCTTTGGTCCAATGCAGGGGTGTAGTCGAAGGCTTAGCTAGTAATCCGGGAATCTTTACTGCCGTTGGAAGAGTGTTCGGCATGACGACTGAGCTGAGAACCTAGTTAGACCTTCTGTAGATCATGCTGCTTAGACATGTTTTGCATGCGGTTGATCAAGGTATGAGTCGTGTGTATGAAAGGCTGAAGTCACTCCAAGTTTTTCTGAGGTAAACGATGTATACGAACGCACATGATGACCTGATGTAACTTAACAAGGCGTTGTCTCTGCGCCGTATTTCCTTTTCTCTTGGCTTCTTGAGCAAGTCATTCTCCCATCCTATTCACACTAAAGTATCAGTTGAGCACGCCTATGATTCAAATAGACTTCAATGTCAAAATTAAATCTGCGAAGGTTTGACTATCTACTCGTCTTTTGGGGTTTAGTAGTTTATTCACAAGGTGTAGCCACCTACTTAGGTATATATTTACGGCATGTCACCGCAGGGTTAGAGGGTCAAAAGCGGCGTTAATCTACCTATAACGCCATAAAAAGGTAGAATAGATTTGGATTGGCTATAGCTGATAGGCGTATGTCAATCACAAGCCCTCATCACATGTAATTAGGTATACAAATCACACGCTGTCACTCGATATATAGGTACTCGCACCTACTCCAAAGGATTCTTTGTGCAGCATCAGACAGGCGATATCATTGTTCAAGTAATCGAAAACAGGCAGTCAAGAATAAGTATTCCGAATGATCAGCATGCTCACCGAAACCATCCACCATCCCACAGTCACACTGATACCATTGGGCCATTCCTAGTCTCGAGAAAATGAAATAATATGGAAGCAATGTTCCCTTAGAGAGGCGGTTCCATTGCTGGGAAAGAAGGTTGTGAGAATTTAGTGGCGATGTAAACATCGGATATTGAGGAGGCAAGGCCGACATATTGTGTGTAGCAGCACTAAACTCTGATGGTATTAGAACATAACCTTTAGCTAATTAGACCATGACGGGGTTGGAACTTGATTTAAGTTGAAGGACCGATGATTCCAAGTGGTTATAATAGCGAGGCGAGGGGTGAGGGTTGCATTTTAGGGGGAAGAGGAAATCCCCCTTGCATGTGAGTCAAGTTTCAATATATATACTGCTTTTAAAAGACTGCACTGCACGCTAGCCTAGCGGGCGGGGGTCCACTGCCAGTTTACCTTCAACTTCTCCCTTTCCCGGATCTTTTCATCATCCATCAATCCTATCAATTCGCAGTAGGAGACACAGCCGCACTTCAACCGTAAATATCCACATCACCACCGAAACATGTTGCTTACTGAAGTAGAGCATCAATATTGCCTAGACACTCTCCGCCAATAGATTGGCTTATACTGCTAGTGAACGATGGACTGACCCAGAGTCTGTAACCTCAGGCTCTTTGACATGTGTGGTAGTGTATGAACATACTTATGTCAATACACTCACAACTCTAACTAACTCGTAGAATATTTATGAGTGGGGAATTATCGTAGCTGAAAAGGCTGACAGATAGATTTAACGCTAGATACATCAAACTCCATGGAACGTCTCTACGTTCTACACAGCCTTCCATTCACCTCAGCCCAGAGTTCACTCCCAACCGCCGTCCTCGCATAAAAGACACCGCGAGGATCTACTTCCTTTTTTATACGCAACAATCTCTCATACGAGGCTCCATAGTACTCTTTTAACCAGTCCGGGTCATATGCATTTGCCTAGTGGAGAATCAAAGGTCATCAGCATCAGCACTCCACATGGAAGAAGGAGAATTTCATTACGGACCTCATTTACATAAGTTCCTGACCCTGGCGACACCTCTTTAAAAGCCGCGTCAACATTTGCGATCAGATCCAAACCCTCCCAGAAATCGCTATCCGTCTCGTTACCCAGCCAAAAGCGATTATACAGCGGCAGCAACAACCCCGTTTTCCAAATGGGGTTCACTGATGTCTCCTCTAGCACTCCTCCAAACTGTCCGGGCGCTACAAGGTGACCAATTATACCTAATCCAGCCTCTGTGGTTAAACGGAAGGCTTGTGTTACCGCCGTATGGTTAGTTACTACGTGGTTATGAAGAATGAGACGAGAACTTGTGAACATATTTAGGCCAGCGGCTTCACCGTCGAAGAGGGAATTGTAGCCAGAGAGAAATGTGGGATAGGTGGTTATATTTGCGGTGTATGGTACGCCGAGGGCATCGAAAGAGGTGAATAGTGGAGAAAGGATTTCAGTAAGTTCGGACGTCGTCTTTCCCGTTGCTAGGAGTGGCTTTAGGAGGAATGAATTCGCATTAACTTCGTAGTAACCGTATATACCGGCTTCGGCGTATTGTGGTGCGAAGGAGTGGAAAATATTAATGCCTTCCCAAAAGATTTCTGGTGTAGTCTGATCGTAATGGAGCTCTATTACAGCACCAGAGACCATTGGAGTAGGGAAGGTTTTGACGGTGACAGAAATCACAACACCCCAGGACGAACCACCACCACCACGTAACGCCCAGAAGAGATCAGAATTGTTGTGGGCGTCGGCAGTTTTATACAGACCGTCTGCAGTTACCAGCTTGAATTGAAGGACATTGTCTACGGCCATTCCGTGGAGAGGGGACAGAGGACCGTGACCACCGCCTTGGATATAGCCTCCGGAGAAACCAACGCCCTAAGAGAAATTAGTAGTGTGGGCAGATACTACGAAGGGTGTAATCATACAGCGCATTCACCCCCAACAATGACCTTCCCAACCGCATCCAGGGCGTTATAGATACTGGCTGTTTGCCAACCAGACCCGAGAGTTACTGCGCTACCATTATAGGTTGTAGAGGGGTCAGAGTAGGAATCAATGATCCCGATTTCCTTGAAATGGTGAGTCCAGATACTAAGGGAGCCTGCACCAGTTGACTTCCCCATGAAATCATGGCTATATAACATGTCAACGCAGGTCTTCTCAAACATTTCAAGCCTATGAACAATTACAACCTACCCTGTATTCTTAATAACCCTATCATCAAGCGGAAATCTTAGCTTCGATTGAGATCAATTGACTGTCGGATCCCATTTGCACTCACAGTCTAACATTATTTAACCTCGCAAAGTTCACTCCAGCCTGCACATCCTCTACAGTCGTCGCATTAATCACATACTCTGGATATGTCCCTAGGGAACATCTCTCATCCGGATTCGTGGTCGGTAAGCAGGTTATATTCGTCCAGAAGTCCCAAAGTACCCCTACTGGATGATTGAACCTGACCACCGGGTGGAGACCCTTCGAGTTAACAATATGACACTTTGATGAGTTGCAGGGAAATACGTACGATGAATCCTGCTCTCCCCAATTTGCTGCTACAAGCTCACATTTAACGGGGTCATAGGTAGAAGTATTTTTAAACTTCTTATGACACGACGCAGCCGGTGGAATGGCGGCGATCAACCGGCCGGAGACGGTACTGTTTAGGGAGTCCCACTTTGCTCGCGATGGCCAAGAGGGCGTATTTGGGTAGGATTTACAGGTGGAGGCGGCAGAGGCGGCAGAGGCGGTTGCAATTCCGGTGAGTGCTAGAATAGAGAGAAGGTGTAGCATTGTGCGGTGAATGGGGGGCCAACGAACTTTCGAATGGGAGGAGACACGGGGTAGTTATTATACAGATCTGGGTACTAAGGAGTATGACGGTTACTTGAGCTGCTGTTAGATCGGGACGTAAGTTCTTGATCTCAGGGCTTCAATTCGAGGTGCTCCACAGTAGGGTTTGCGATGCATGCATCTCATAGAAGATTTGTGCGCGGAGGTGCAGCAAAGATCACTGCATATGAATAATCACTTAAATGCGGCGCATCACGACAGTTTTCGTCAGTAGAAACTTGATTAGTTATTGGATTTTCGGTTTTCGGGAGTTGTGTGTGGTTCACACAAATCCGCCGATAGGGCACATATGCCTAGCACCTGCATCGAATACATTCTAAATTCTCGGTTATTCGTAATCCGGTTCGTGAAAAATTCAGCCTGCTTAAAGTTCTGCATTAATCCAGGACAAAGCACACTGCATCTTTACTCTAAATATCTGCAGGCGGGCGGCATTGAGTAAGCTGATGATCATCGGTGCCATGTGTAGAGAATGCAAATATGCACGGACATGGATGAATAAATAAGAGTTGGCAGAGTTGGCCGTCAAAACGAATGTCAATCAATAAAAGAGGATTACAGTCGTTCACAGGGTTTTGGCGAACACGGGGTTTTGTCGAACAGGGGTTAAGACCAATAAGAATCAGTATGTATTGAATTCGCCAAAACCCCGTGTTCGCCAAAACCCTGTCCTAATACCAAGCCACGAGTGATGACCGGTGATCTACCTTTCGCTGGAAACGATATGACGACGCTCTGAAACAGATACGAGTGATTCGTGATGATCTCAATCATTTTAGTGTGGTAATTGCCAGCCACTAATGCCGGAGGGTAGTCAGACTGTGAATTCAGTGCCGAGCTGGACAAATTTCACAAATCATACCAGGAAGTACTTGCTGATATTCGCTCGAAGTAAAATGAGGTTGATAGATGGAGGCGTTCGGCGTGCCTTTCATTATGAGTGTTTTTCAGCTTAAGGCAGTTGAGGCCTTTCCCCGCCTTAAGTACAGTACATATACGTATCACAAAAAATAATTTACGTCTAAGGGATAATGCATATGTATGTGGTATCTATCGTGGGTGTATCACAATACGTATGATGGGCTACTAGGATACGTACATGTAGCTACATACATGTATTATATAATTGTACGTAATAGATGGGCCAAGACAGCCAATATATATGCTAAAAACATTGCGGACCAAAGTTCTGATAGAATTAACAAGTATTGTTAAGTACATATATGTATGTAGTACGAGGTCTCTTGAACCACACACTATATTCTGACAGGTCTTTGTTGAACGTGATAATATAAGTGGAGAAGAGTGAATCGAAAGCATGCAGCACAAGCTGTTAGGGCCCGTTTGGGAGCTGGCCTCAGTAGAAAACAACGTTTTAATCACCCTCCGTTAGTGGGTGGGATACGGATAAATTTCGAAACGGAGTTTAAGCGAAAAAGTAGGTCCAAGTTGCTTATTGGAAACCTCCGTTTTCATGGAGTTAGCGTTATTTTCGGGGCCCGCAAAATGGGTCGCCAAACACAACTCGTTTTCTCAGAACGGAGTTTCCGCCAGAACGGAGTTTTAAGCCCCCATAACTCCGTTTTGGACGGCTCCCAAACGGGGCCTTAGTTTGTTTATAGCCTCTAATATTCTAACTCTTTATCACGAGTGTAGTACATGGTTCTAATTAATTAGGCGCTTTATCTAATATAAGCTCGTTCCTAGAACCACTCAATTTCCGAGTATACGGACGAATGTAGTACGTACTTGGAATTCAATAGTGGTAACTGTTACACATATGTAGCTACATTATATGGAAATGCTCACGAGGCCAGCTGTAATCAGGCTCATGTTAATTATCCGTCGCACACCCCAGACCGATGTACTGCATCTTCCACATCTTCCACTACCCTTCGATCCCCTATCGATACAAACCTTGCATCCAATATATACATAGTTATTCATCACACTAAGAAAAAGGAGCTCGAGATACGTACTAGTAAGTAGTGAGAGTTCAATATATACATGTATCTTTAGATGTTTCTTATATTGCGCATTTAGTTAACTATAAAGTCTAGGTAATTCTGGTCTACTGTGCTATAGTGCTGAGGAAAACCTTTGATCAAGGTCTTTTTAACTCTTCGGAACTTTTAATTCCCAAGATGTCTGAGAGTTATACTGCCGATATCACTGTGGAGAAAGGATGGACCTGGAATGACATGGATGTGATATCCCTCAAAAGGGACCTCCTCCGGATGAGAAAAGTCTTCGACAACGCTATTGAGAGCCTGGATATCTCCATCCCCGTCATCGACTACAAGGAGCGCGAGGGGCTCTTAGATCTCTGTGTCCACATCCAATCATGGCCATCGATACTTGAGACCGTAACTAAGGCCGGCGAGAGCCAAAACTTGAAAATATGGGAGAGAAGATACAATTATACTTTGCCTACGGCTGATTTGAATAAGGCGTATAGGATGACAAGATCATCGGCAGACGCGCTGATGCAGAAGATATTACTGGATTTGGATGTATACTCCAAATCAAATCGTCCAACTCACGATCATCTGGATTTACTTATGGCATGTTTTGGACCGGGCAAGGGGATAGAACACTATTCTTCCTATATGTGGACGTGGTGGGTAAATAATCCGGTATCTTAGTTGCTCTCGTTGCTACGGGTGGTGCCGGCGGGGGTCGTTCAAGCTGGCGCATGCATGCAAATATATGCGTCCGTACGTACGTACCAGCGCTGCAGCTGCAGATGACTTTGTCTCTGAGTCTGTCTGAGTGGATAATGGAGGTGTTTTATTCCAAAGAGGGTTTTCCTTGAGCTACTTGAGGTCATCCTATAGCTCTAGGATTTATGCAAGGCTTTTAATTTTTTATAGATTGTATTATAGTTAGAGACGTTTGATCATGAATTGCATGATATGAACTTTAACTGCATGCGAGGAATGCGCAAATAAAACAGCTATTATGCCATTATTTTGTGCTGGAAGGAAATTCCTATGTACTGAAGACTCTATTTAATTCGGGCGTCTAGTTAGCCTTCAATCTTCTTATCCAAATTCTGTACGACGATATGTGATCAATTTTACACACTGATCCATGATCAATAATACACAAAGTTCAAACCTTTCGTCATCTTAGATGCCTAGAACCCTGTAACGGCAGATCCCGCAACCCCGAAGCCTCGCCGCCAAGCCTAGCGACAGAGCTTCACATTTCCAACCCCATCCAGTTCAAAATACCACACGCACCAATGATCCGAACTACATTCCGCAGGCTTATGCTGCGACAGCAGCCTCGAATCATCGCAAACCCCTCTCAATGCTTCATCATCCCAGTACGTACCCCCGGTATCGTTGCCGCCAAACGGACATTCTCGCAAACACAGGCTGTCGCATACAATAAGGGTGGCTTCTCCCTCGACGACTACCACAAGGTCTCAGAGGGTACACTCGAAGGTATCCTCGAGAGTGTTGAAGCGGTTGCAGAGAAACGGACAGATGTGGATGTTGAGTACAGCGTTTGTTCTCCCTCTGCTCCTCCGAAAAACTTAGCTAACAAACTTGACGTACTAGGCCGGGGTCCTTACTATTACAGTGCCGCAGGGAACATATGTGATCAATAAACAGCCCCCGAACCGGCAGATATGGATCTCATCGCCTATTACGGGCCCTAATAGATTCGACTGGGACCCGATAAACTATGTGTGGGTGTCATCGAGGGATAAGGCCACGCTGGGTGGGGTGCTGAAGAAAGAGATTGGCATCGAGTTCTCTATCTCAATGCCGCTAGGATACTTGTAGGTATACATTGAAAACGGGGGGCCTGCTTTACTGTAATTTGTTGTAACTACATACTCAGCTACGTTTGCTATCGAGGAATGAACACAGCTTTAGTTCCCAGGGGATAGATTTTTGTCTTTGTGTGATTACTGCCAGTACGTGTAGTTAATCAGAAAAAGAACCTCAGCTATATGCTTACAAACTCTGGAGATTGGCAATTGGGTAACCCTACACACTATAATTCGACCCGAGTTTCATTTCCGATGGGTGTATTGTAATGCACACCGGAGGCCCGGAGAAGACGTTGTACAACTATTAACAAGCGATAGAGATCCAGAAAACTCCAGCCCCAGTCGTGTCACATAAGAGGATATGGACTATATTTCACAGCGCACTCCCCACTCCTTGCACTGCTTCTCATCACTTCTTCTCAATACAGCTTCAGAAAATTCCTAACATCTTCACCGCCAAGTTCATTGATATCCCCCATCACACTCAATGTTTGCTAGGCTTCTTCATGAATTGCTCCTACAACAAGTCAAAAAGTCTCCTCCCCCCTAAAGCGCAGCTCACTTTCTTGCTGCCTATACGACATCACAAGAGTTATGTTCTACGAAGCCATTCGCCACCCCATGAGACTATCGAATAAGCATAATCCCGTCTCATGGAAACAGTTACGCCCCGATATATTTTAGGATGGTTAAAGTTGACCGATTGGAAATATAGTGAATAAAAAGTAGTGATCTTTTTTCTCCCGGTGTGTTTTGCGATGAGCAGGACGCAGTGGTTGTGAAGATAGTCGCAAGTACAACTCGGCGCCCCACCATGTTCATCCTCCCCAAAGCTGATCTGAGAAGAAAATTAAGGATGATGGACCCATGGGTGTTTGTTTACAGCGGATAATCGATATTCATGGCTAGCTCCGACAGAGACTAGCTTCACGTTATCTCAAATCACGAAATCATGGCCCCCATACATAACCGCGCTTTCGGTTCCCGATTATGCACCGTTATTATTAAGGTTCCACCCTGTACCCACAGTCAAGCCTTTACCCGTCATGAATCATGACTTCAAGGGAGGCAAATTGCGATTTTCCTGGCTTATCGAGGGATCTGGTTTGGTTTGCTTGACCACAAAAGCTTATCATCTGGATGTTATTCCCGAAGAGGGCTCCTCGGCCGCGGATACCCCAGATCCGCGGATACCCCAGATCCAGATTGCATCATCAGAGAGTCACTCGTTAAACCGCGAAAGCACGTGCAAATTTATAAATGACGCCTCTGAGAATATCTAGAGAATATAGCTACTGGGAGTCTGTGGAGGTCAACCCGCAACCTTATTCACCCCGTCTTCAGTGTGATCTGGAATCGCGACATGGCCGCAACCTGGCACCGCATAGGCGAAGCAGCAAAGAAATCACTCTCTCGCATTTCTCCTCCGCCGGACTTGAGTCAACCGGATATGGATCATTTTTACACGCATCCGATAGAATTCCTAAAATCGATATCCGAAGGCGCTCAATTTTGCTCGATGGTTTTCTCTCTGGCAAAAATACTCATATCACAGTACGATCCCTCGAAATTGGCCTCCGGTGTCATATTCAATGCTTCGCAAGATTATCAAGACGCGGTCTCTTCGCTCCTTAAGAGAGGTGTGAAGAGGTTTTTGTGCGATTTTAAAGAAGGACATATCTACTTTAGAAGTCTTTTGGTGATAGATCATGTTTTAACGGGCGCAAGGTAGCGATAAAAATCCCCACTCCCCCCCGGATGCCTCTATTGGTCAGATGGTTTATACTCTGGTAATCTAATCAAGCATGTGGTGTTGCTGGTAGTATTTTAAAACCCGAGCCTACACCTAGCATCTGGTCCTCTTATGAAATCAAACCAGTCAAGGTCCAAGATCCATTTCCTTTCCAAGGAGGCTGTACGGTAGAATGGATACCGCGATTCTTACCAATTACAGAAGATAAATCGACGGATCCAGACTTCCAGGCGGTGAAGTGGCAAATCGAAAATCACAAATTTCCCGAGAGGGCTGGCCCTTCTTTTGTCGGTATCACGGTGGTGGATATTGGCTTCTCGTCGGCGCTTGCTATTAGGGTAGTCCTCGTAGTCTCTGATGAGATTTTCGATATATTGTGTATGGATCCGGAGAAACCAATCCTTACGGCCAAAGGTTATATTGGTGACGTGGGAACACACAGCGAGGAAGCGAACAGGCGATTATTCGATGGTTTGGGCTTGACAGAGATCTTTGAAAGAGATGAAAGAGTCTACTCTTTATGTAGGATGCCTCGACCTATTCACTATAGCGTGGAAAAACCATTAGCACATGGTTCCAATATCAGCAGAACGGGAGCCAATGAAAGAGGGAGCGTTGGGATATTTATGAGACCTACCTCAGACGCTGGATTCGGGTATTGTTTAACCGCAGGCCATATTGCGATCAATTCAGAGGATAAAAATGACCAGTCGGGTTCAAAAATCCAAACTCTAAGTGGCTTGGACATCCTTCGGTGGTATGCGGTTGTGTCTAGCGAAAGCAAAAATGTTACAACCGAATGCCCTGAAGATAAAGAAAAGGTTATAGATTCCTGGAATAGAACAGTGAAAAAGAAAGAGTTTGGAGACATTGGGAGTGTCGCTGCATATGGAGTTGGTACGGATCCCGGTGGTTGGGTGGAGGATTGGGCACTGGTAAAGATGAACGATGGCTGGACAGGCACAAACGGCTCTTGGTGTGAACTTGATTCGTACGGAATCGCTAAAGTTCTCAATATGAAGACAGGCTCTAAGGTAAAAGAAGGATTGGGGCCAAACACATGTGTGAAAGGGGGTGAAATAGTTGCTAAAGATGGAGCATCAACAGGAATAAGAGGAGGAATAGTGAATGGTACATGCTTTTATATGTATCAACGCGGAGAAAGGTTTTTGAGGGGCGCCCCGAATTCTACACGTCCAGACAGCTTTTCTCCGCCAGCAAAGCTCGAACTCATCTTGCCGATCGGCGATAAACCATTCTGTGCCGGCGGAGACTCTGGAGCCGCTGTTTTTCGCGTTGTGCAAGAGCGGCTAAGTTGGTGCGGTATGCTGGTCGGAATTGGCAATTTGGAGGGCGCAATGAATATACCTGGCGGTGCAGGATTGATGGTACCGCAAGCTGTGGTGTTGAAACAGATGAAAGATAAGACCGGAATCGATTGGGTAGTGTCCGATCGAGGGGGAAAGATATTGAATTGAGGGTTCTCTTTATGGAGCACAAAAGTTGTAAAGCATGATACATTGCATATATATCTTACCCAGGGGCATCTGAGTCCAAGTCAATTTTTGCTGCTTAGTTCAGGCGCTTGTTTTATCACGGAATACGAAACGAACTACTACGCATGTACACTGTACACACATACTAAGCCCGTACAAATAGTACATGCACGCTTGGAAATCAAGGGCAAAAGAATATTTTCAGAGGCTACAATATCAAGTTTAGATGCTAGTCTTGGAAGAGTGGAGATCAATAATCCCTGGGATGTCATGAAGAAACGAGCTAGCCGGGCTCACAGTCTTATTCTGGGGAGGGGTCCAAGATTAGCCCTCCTAGAAAGGTACATAGAAGATGACTTGAGGAGCTGTGGGGCAGGCGTGTAAATTTCGGCGTTTCTTAAAGTATCAACCAATGAATCTATATATAAACTGGAGGATCTACTACCATAACAGTGCTAATGTCTCTGTAGGCTAAAGGTGGCATTTTCTCTAGTTCGTATACAAAAGGGATTTATTTGAAATTGACACACTCGTCTCTTATCGGTCGACTAGTACGTGTGATAAGAAAAAGGCGATTAGATAACTCGAGTGATATCTCATGAATTCTTGCGGCTCATTTAAACTAAACCTTTTATAATTAAAACTGGGTTAGACTGTAGTATCCGATGTGGTGTAACGGTTAGCATCGCTCGCTTTCACCGAGCAGATCGGGGTTCGATTCCCCGCATCGGAGTCATACAAATATTTTTTTTCAAACTACATTTTAAAACAAGTCATAGTTTACCAAGTTAGATACTTGTATTGATGATGATTCTAATCCGAGGATAGGAGACTCGAGAGCCTCTACCTCTTAATCTAAGCTCGCCACCTATTGTACTTTAACTAAAGTACCTGCAACTTGTTCACTTTGCTTAGCGCCTCTCTCAGCCTCATTGCCAAGTCTCGCTTTGTCATTACAATTCAGGTACCCAACTCAGGCTGTGCTTCAGTGTATAAGAGCACCGGCTTCCCGTCTTTTCTGACACCAACCTTGCTGGGAAATAAAGCACCCATAATCATGGCAGAAGCCATAGGTCTTGCATCAAGTATCATTGTAGTTATCTAAATTACCGGAGCCTTGGTTTCTCTTGGTTATAATTACTTAGGAGGGGTTAAAGACGCATCGAACGAACTCCGAAAGCTCGTGGATGAGTTACATTCCCTCGCCCAAGTTCTTTTCGTCTTACAGGATCATGCTCGTGGCGACGGGTTGCTTCGATCCGCGGCACTGCAGAGACTTAATGACCAAAATGGACCGCTTTCGGGGTGTGCGTTGGAACTAAAAACACTTCAGAGGAAGTTGGAACCTAAACCGGGGCTGCGGGGAATGGTGAAGTATCTTTTGTGGCCACTCAAGGAGAAAGAAACCCTTAAATATATCGATAGTATAGAACGGTATAAGAGCTTGTTCAATCTAGCGTTGACAACTGATTATTTGTTAGTTAAATCTTATCCCGATGGGTTTATAATTTATATGTTTCGCTGATAGGCATGTGTATGTTAGTGCCTTATCAAGAACTATTGACGGATGCGTCCGAGATACGAATTAGATGATCCACGAGCTCCGGAACGAATCATCGGTACTGACTTCTCAGATAGATAGTAGGTTGGCTGGTAGGTACATTCCCGTCGAAGATATAGGGGAATAATCTCTAATTCGTTGGCTGATTCTTAGCGGAAAAGCGAAACAAGATACTTAATTGGTTATATTTCGGAAACTTCGCCCAAAAGCATGTCGAAATTAGTGGAAGGAGACAAAAACACACGACGGGTTGGATTTTTGGAACAGCAGAATTCAAGAACTGGTTGAAAGATCAGCCTGATTATTTGATGCTTTGGGGCTATGGAATTCGTATGTTCGAGTCATTAGTGTTTTCATTAGCTTCGGGTCAAAGTAGAACTAACCACAAATACGTTGAGTAGCTGGAGCAGGAAAAACATTTATAAGGTATTGATGAATTTCTCATATCTTCAATCCGGTCAAAATCTATCAGGGGAGATATTATTAGACTGTAAAGTGATCAACGGCCTCTAGTGGTCAGTGGGTAGTGTGCGGTTAGGTTTGTAATTTATATCTACCAAGGCGTACTTCTGCCCCCTCTAGACGCTATTGAGTTCATTATCTTTCACTAGATTTAAGCGGATTTTGGTTCCTAGTTGTTTAAGAAGCCTAGTTTAATGACATTTATCCACAGCTCTTCGATAATCGACTACCTGACAACCCAGAAATCAGGTAAAAAGTACGGGGTAGCATATATATATTTCGACTACGTCGAGAGAGACCAGCAGAGACCAACTGACGTTCTCCGCAGCCTTGTTAGACAACTCGCCCGTCAAATGGATCACTTACCGGAAACACTCGAACAGCTGTATGATACCTATTACCCCAAACAGGATAATCCAAGCTTCGAGGAAGTATATTCAGCATTTGTCGAAGTTTCTAGTAGCTTTAGACGAACATTCTTAGTCTTTGATGCATTGGACGAATGCGATCAGAAGTATCAGAGGAAGGGCCTCTTGCCTTTATTTCACAGGCTCAAAGGGGATGGACTCGGTCTATTCATAACAAGTCGGCCATATCCAGAAGATATTCAAATTTCTTTTGAAAATGCTGTAAAGCTGGAAATTTTAGCCCAAGTAGAAGATATCGGAGTGTATATCCGGCAGAAGATCGAAGACAATCCACGTGCGAGGCGCCTGGTGCGGAAAGGGGGATGTGAAGACAAGATAATCTCTGAGCTTACAGATTGCGCCAAGGGGGTGTAAGTACATATATCATAGATGTGACAATGATCACATTTCCTCAACTGACCTTTTTTTTTTTTTTCCCCTGTCTAAATCGTTAATTGTAGCCTCCGCTGACCTTGAACCTATGAAAGGTTTCTCCTTGTACGCTTCCATATCGAGCACATATGCCAGCAGACAACCTTGAAGCAGATTCTGTCCGAACTTTCGAATCTCAATAGCGCATCATCTGGGGAGAGGCCATTGGACCCTACTTATGACCGAGTCATGGATCGAATCCGCAAACAACCGAGAGTTTGCAATCAACTAGCTATGAAAATCCTTTCATGGCTTGTGAAGGCTAGAAGAACTCTTACAATCAATGAACTGCAAGAGGCTGTATCCGTAGAGTTAGATCAGGACTACACCGACGAGACCGATTTACCGGACGTGTCAACATTACTTGATGTATGCGCCAGTCTAGTTATAATTGACCAGAACAGTAAAACTCTTGGATTGGCTCATTACACTGTTCAAGAGTACCTGTTGCGGAATCGCATCATCCTTGACAATGAAGCTGAACATCTTTTGACAGTGGGATGTCTTACGTTCTTATCGCTTGGTGTTAACTACCACAATATATCTATGGGATTGGTCCAATACGCAGCATACTACCTGGGTTCTCACCTAAAAAATTGCGAAAAAAGCTCGACAGTGGATATCCTACTTGTTTTTCTTAAGAAGCTAAAAGCACTTCGGTATAGGCCGAACATATCGATTGATAGAGATACTGCAAGTATAGTAGATTTAGTCTGTACGAGAGATAGCACACCACTGCAGTCAGCATGTATATTAGGCAAATTCCGCCTTTTAGAAGAGGTCCCCAGTACTATATCGGTTATCGGATTCAAAGCACTACTCGCTGCATCATCCGCTGGTCATGAGGAGATTATTGATCTTCTGACTGCAAACGGTGCTGATATCCCGTTTCGAATCTCCAACGGAACGAATGTACTTCACATAGCAGTAAGGCAATATAGTGCTATTTACAACGAAATGGTGAAACTTCTCCGTTCGTTGGTTGGCCTAGTAATAAGGAGAGGGTATATCGAGTTAGTCTTTGTCATACTTAAACATTCTCCAGATATCTTATATCGCGATGCCCTTAACTTTCCCCCGGTTCACTATATGGTCATCATGGGGAACCTGGAGGCTGTTTTGTTGTTACTTGAGGAGGGCTGGGATGTTGATTTTAAAGGGCCTGAAGGGCGTACCGCGCTTCATTTTGCAGCGTCTATTGGTTCTAGCGAGATGGTCGAACTCTTGCTCCAGAAAGGTGCAAGTCTATCACTCTACGACGATGATGAGGATACCCCGCTGGATAAGGCAATAAGGTCAAATTGTCAGGAAGTGATCATTCAAATGATCAATAGCGGCGCGGATGTCACGACTATCAATGCAAATGGACGGAGCTCTCTTGATCTAGCAATATCAGAGGGTTCTAGTGAGATTGTTCGCCTGTTAACCGAGAAGAATGCGATCCCATCAACATGAGACTCATTTGGGCATACACCTCTTCGCGTAGCAATGGGGGGAAGGTAATTCTACAATAATTTCTCTGTTGATTGAATGGGGAGCTAATATCCCAATCAAAGGCTGGAATGGGGCAAAGTTACGGATGAGAAATCTATTGGAATGTTTGCTTCAGCAACGGGAGTGGTGCGGGTCTTGGGCAGGGAGGGAAACCTGAACTATGATTTTGAGTACTATGAATTTTAGGAAGAGCCTTTGGGTAACAGTACTTTTTGTTTACATGCGCGTTACTGGTTCAATATTTTTTTTTTTTTTTGAAAATTACTATGATGTATGGGCGTACATATGGTTTGGTATGGAAACGTTTACTACTTAAAGTGGCTATCGGTCGTTTGCATTGTAAGTTTTACTTATATAAAGTACAAGTATGTACGTTCCTAGCATCGATTTTGAAGGGTTTGTATGCTAAGGAAGCTGTCTTGTCGGGACGAGTGGTATCACCTTGACTCTCAGGACTCTCCAAACTTCTTACATGGAAGGCAAATAATCGAAACACACCCTACAGGACTCAAACCCCAGTTCTCCCGTTGGATGTGAGTCAGCGCCATATGACTCCTAGACAGCGTTGACGTGAAATGTTGCACAGCGATCATTTCCAACCACCACCACCATCATCATCATCCCCCCACTGCTTTAGGTATAACCAGAATTCAACAAACAACACATCCGATGTGGTGTAACGGTTAGCATCGCTCGCTTTCACCGAGCAGATCGGGGTTCGATTCCCCGCATCGGAGGTTCTTCTTTTTGTTCTTGGTTTGGGAGGGGGTGGGGATGGCACTAGGCTGGGGTATGGCGTTGGCGGGGGGGTTAGTGGCTTTTGTTTTTTGCTTGGGCACGGCAGGGCTGGGGGCAGTTGGCAGCGACCCGGGGTCGCTAGATTTTGGGAAGGGGTCGGGGTCGTAGAGGTTTTTTTAGGACCCAGGTCGGAGGGGGTCATATTGATAGGTCACCGGCGGTCAAGCTTGGCTCCTCACTAGTTAGGTTTTGTGCTGACAAGAGTTCTGAAATTATATGGGATGACTAATTAATGCCAAACTCCCACCAAGAGTGCTTTCACGCTACTAGTAGTGACCCATATGATAGGGTCATAGAGACTTTACGACCCCGGGTCGGTGATGGGGGTCAGTGGGAAGACCGGTTGTGGTGCTTTGAAGGGTCGCTGCCGATACTGGCTGGGGGGCCGGGGTTAAGTATCGATGCTAGGCACTCGTTTGTAGGTGGGTGTGCCTATGTGACCTATTCTATCCCCAGAGAGGAGAGGAGGGGATTGATATGTTTCTCTTGTGGGGAAACATATAGGTAGGCTTGGATGTAGCGAGCACTAATAATATTTGTTTTATAGTGTTTGGCATCTTATCGATAGCAGTATATCATCGTTTGCCATTTCGAATTCCCAGTCAAGTACCGTGGATATGGGTGTAATTATACTCGATTAAAGCATATCTATTCTAAATAGTAATACGTAGCACACGATGTGACGTTCTGACCATATGCTACTGGACTAACGAGACTTTACTGTACTCGTACATAAGTAGGCGGATTTTTTCTATTTATGCTCCCGAAGGAGACGGGGTAATGGGTTCGAGTGCTGTGTTTTGCTTGTTGTGGGGGGGGGGGGGGGGGGAATGTATGGTGTGGGCTTTAAATTTGGTTGCCGTTTGTGGCGGGCACTGGCTGGGTGGTGTTGGTTTTATCTAGAGTACATTGTATTCCATTATATGTTTTGGTGATATTTACTACTGATCGACGCTTCGGGCTCTGTCGATCTCGTCTGTGCTAAGTTTTCCTTTCAAATATTATGGCTCGAGAAGCTATGGTGGGGGTAGGTGTGTATGTAAACTTCGGCGTTTACAGCCAATCAAATCTGTAGAAATTGGGAGAGCTACTCACACAATGGTACTAGCGCCTAGCCTAACTGTGGAATTTTTCTCTAATTCCCATACAAAAAAAGGGTTCCTCTGACGTTGACACACCCCAACCCCCTATGCCTTCTCGCGCCATACCCTTTTTTTTTTTTTCAAATATGCGCGCGCGGGGGCTACTGTTGTCGTATCTGGGGGTCTCCTGACGCATTTGTAACGTTTGAGCTTGGTTCTTGTGGTTTGGGGAGTAGAACGGTCCCTAAAAGTGAGGATCAAGTGAGGATCAAGGGCGAATGGAGGATGGGGTTGGCGGACCGGATAAAATTTGGTTTGGTCTCTGCCCACAGTAGTACTCCGGACTCTCAAAGTGAAGTTTGAAAAATTTAAAATCAAAGCTCTCGTTGCAATTGGTTGCGCACTATAGCTAGCACGGTTGATGTTGAGCTTGACATCGATATCTTCATTTGAGGGACTATTTATGGGGGGTTTGGGCGATAGCTGTTACTGGTGGTGGAAAGATAAAGTCTTCTAAACAGCTATATCTACTACTACCAGTTGGCGTGTGCTTTCCCAAGATGTTGGAGTAGATATGTCATAATTCTCGTACAATACCTGTTCTTACTCTGCGATCTACAAGATCTGCAAAAGGAGCATTCCTACCTGTCCCTGTCCCTTATAATTCAACATGACCCACCGAACCCCAAATCCCATCATAATAGCTTCATTACCTCTATATACCCTCCCCCCCTCCTCCCCTTCTCCCCCTCCTCCTCCCTACTACCCTACACCTAATGCGTCGCCTTCGCCCTCTTCTCTCTAACCCCCTCCACCGCCTGATCAAACCTCAAAAAGCTTCCAAATCCCTCAAAGAACGTACCCACCACCCACATCCACCACACACCCCCAAACCTCGGCGTCTGGTGCCTGCGCAGCCGTCCCCGCGCCATATGCACCGCCTCGGCGACATGGATCAGGAGCATCAGGAACAGCCACTCAAAGTGGAAGCGCGCGCAGAGCGCCGCGAACGTCGGGAAGGGGGCGAGTAGATAACTGTGACCGTCCGTCCATTAGCTTCTTGCTGACACGCTGGCTGGCCGCGGGGGGGGGGGGGGGGAGAAGAGCATACTCATGAATCGCCGCGCCGGGCTCAAAATTGCTCCTAAAGCTAAACCCGTAGTAGCCCAAGCACACGCCCAGGAACGTGAGCCACTGCACGGGCGTGCGCGGGGGCACGTAGACGTCGACGACGAGCGGGCTCTTGCCGAGGCCCTCGAGGGCCTCGTGGTGCATGTAGACCATTCTGTCGCGCGCGTCGGCGTAGGAGGCCATGGGCGAGGGCCGGATGGGGATGTAGGTTGTTGTTGTGGCGGTGGGCGAGGAGCGCGAGGAGATGGTGAGCTGCGTGAGGGAGATGTCGACGAGCTCGGCGGTGGCGGCGAGGGAGGGGGGCAGGCGCGAGTAGTGCTGGAGGAAGTCGGTGAGGGAGGTGGAGTGGTCGGTGTTCATGTGGTTGATGATGCGCTGCTTGGTGGCGGCGTCGGAGGAGGGGGTGGGGCGCTGGGTCGCCATGTTGGCTGGGGAGTGCGGGGGGTGGGGACGGGGAGGGGGAGTTGTGGGGAGTATTTGCAGAAGTGGTGAGGATGTGAGGTTGTGGGGTTGTGGGGTTGTGGGGGGAGAGAGGTTGAGTTCTCGTGATAGGCTGTGGCCCGTATCGATAGGTAGCCTCAATGATCGAATCACCGCGTTCCTTGGCGAAACACCGCACGGGAAGAGCAAAGTGAAATCGGACGGTTATGGCTCTAGTTTTTGATAAGCTCAAGCACTTAGATGTAGCAGCGGTAAGGCTTGTTAAAAAGCACAAGTAGTAGTAGATACATCTAGTGGGCGGGATACATAGCTATGGCTGTGAGAAAGCTTGTGGACTTTTCATTCGACACATCTCCATCGGACTATGGTTATGACGGACTAACTGGAACATACTTTGCGTGAGAGGTTGAAATCAATGGTTTTCTTGTCGTATTGTGGTAAAACATGCCTTAGAAGAGCTGTCATGCTTTGGCTTTTGAGTATTGTCTATGCTACAACTGCGAGGAATAGGCGGCGCAGATCTGTCCTCAGGAATGGCATACAACGAGAAACTCTCATGGGCTTTCCAATGCAATCGTCCGCGCATCAGCCATTGGAATTAACAGAACTCTTGACACCAACTCCCCCAATCAACTACCACGGAAAGGGGGGTCTCTTCATCTCTCTCATGAAAGAGATACGAAGAGCTCACAGCAGGCAGTAGTGCCTATATACCAACCACCCGCAGGAAAAAAAAAGTGAGGAAACAACGAGTAGCGTGACAACGAGTGTGTCCCCACACCCGCAATACAGCCCCACGAGTATTCCCTAGCCATCATGCCTTTTGACAAGTCCGGAAAGCGAAGGGAGGCTACTCTGAATGAAAACATCAAAGTTATTGAAGCCCAAGCTAGGGAGGGGTGGGAAAGGCTAGTTTGGGAAAATGTATATAAAATCATTGACAGCATACCAAAGAGAATCGCAGCAGTAGTAAAGAGCAAGGGAAGTCATAAAAAGTGGTAAATATAGTTCAGAGGCCGTAGTATCTATTCTGTATCTCCTTGTGTGGTCATATTACTTCTATTCGTTTCCATTTTCACTTTTTCATTGGGGTTCGGATTGGTTGCACTCGTTGTTTCTGCAACCAACACCTCACCCGGACCCAACTCGGCATACCGACTACTCGGGCCGACATGGGCCCTTCAACGGTGTTCATACCGAGTCGACAGACGCACTATACTCTGCCGACCCTCTGAATTGAGCTACTGCTACTCTGCCATGACCTTGCCCTGCATCTAGGTGGATACGGAGAGCAAAAATCCCTCAGTCCTCTGAGTGAGCAATGAAGCTCGGGATACCGATCGACCTGCCGCCCCGGCCCGAGTCGGGATTACGCAAATGTAATATCACGTTCCATGTCTTGCTTGAGTAGTAGATCTTTCTGAGAACTGCGCAAAGCTGACGGCGATCGGGCATGTCTGACAGAGCTAATTGGAGAAATGCTTGAACTCCCCAACGGGTTGGGTGCCGTGGTTGCGGCATGCCGAAGTGATGACTCCGTCGGACGATGATCACGATGCAGTGCTTACGGACCTTCTGGAACAAGTATAGCAAGAGTCCGAGGACTTATCATACCCCGCTTCTCGGTCAGTTCCTCAGACGCATTGTCGCCATGTTGAGCCGGCTACTACGAGTATATAAAGCTACTCCCTATATCAGCATAGAGCTCCAGAAGCAAGCTTCAGACCTCAATAACTATCCACAAGATTCAGCCCACCATGTCCACCGCACTCTCCACCGCTGTAGAAGCTCTCAAAGACCACTACACCTCCTCCAATCCCCTTTCGCACGCCCAGCATAGCACCCGCCTCTCCCACCTCCCCGCCGGCAACACTCGCTCCGTCCTCTCCTACCCGCCCTTCCCCCTCTGCGTCCGCTCCGCCGCCGACGTAACCCTCACCTCCGTCGACGGCGCGGCATACACCGACTTCCTTGGCGAATACACCGCCGGCCTCTTTGGCCACTCGCACCCGGTGATTCTGGCCGCGCTGCGCAATGCACTCGATCACGGCATCAACTTCGGCGCCGTGAACGAGGGCGAGGGCGAGCTCGCGGCGGCCCTGCGCGCCCGCTTCGGGCTGGACAAGATCCGTTTCACCAATTCGGCCACAGAAGCAAGCATCATGGCGCTGGCGGCGGCGACGGTCCATACCGGGCGGGAAAAGGTGTGGTTGCGGTCGTTTCCTCTTCCTTTCTTTGTGTAGTTGGTCGATTCGCTGAGTGGTAATGACCGGTTTTGCTTGTTTTGCATGTTGTAGATTCTCGTCTTCTCCGAAGGCTACCACGGCGGGCCCCTGGGCTTCGCGGGCGGCGCGGCAGCGCCACATAATATCCCACACGAGTATGTGATCGCACCATACGACGACATCGCCGGCACTGCTGCGCAGCTCTCTCAGCTCCCGCCGGACACGCTCGCTGCGATATTGGTGGAGCCCATGCTCGGCTCTGCGGGTTGCATTCCGGCCTCTGTCGAGTTTCTACGACACCTCCGGACCGCCGCGACAGAGCTTGGTGCAGTGCTGATCTTCGACGAGGCGATGACGTCGCGGCTGCACTGGGGCGGGCTGCAGAAGAAATACGGCATCGAGCCGGACATGACGGTGCTGGGCAAGTATCTCGCGGGCGGGATGAGCTTTGGTGCGTTTGGCGGGCGGGGGGAGGTCATGGAGCTGTTTAGCAGCCGGCTGAAGCACGCGGGGACGTTCAACAACAACGTCCTCAGCATGGCGGGCGGGGTTGCTGCGGCGGGGGTGCTGACGGCCGAGGTGTTGGATGCGGTGAATGCGCTTGGTGATGAGATGCGGGCGAGGATTGAGAAGGTGTTGGAGAAGACGGGTGGGAAGGTGCGTATCACTGGGATGGGGAGCTTGATGGCTTTTAGGTATTCGGGGAGGGATGAGGCGGAGACGGAGCTGGTGAAGGAGTTGCTGTTTTTCCATCTGCTGGAGGAGGGGCTGTATATTGCGTATCGCGGGTTCATGTCGTTGAGTATTGTGCATGAGAGGAGCCATGTGGATGCGTTTGTGGACGCGGTGGAGCGGTTTGTGGACAAGTATGGAGAGATGCTGCGGGAGTGACGGAGCTTGGGGAAGTGCTTGGGAGAATAACTAATCATGTATGTGAAGGTGAAGAATCTCAACATCAGAGAATGAAACTCTACTCGTATGAACAAATCATTTCTTCATAAAGCCCGTTTTGTATTAACCCCACACCCCGCCGGATTACAGCCAGTTACAGCCAGCAGAAGATATTCGTAAAACTTTTATTATATTCATTACTCATGCAGGTATTCTATACACTTTTTAAGAACCAAAGGAAAATTAAACTTTTATATGAAATGCTCAGGCAACAGCAATATTGCTGACCGACCTTGGATACAACCCGAGCCACTTGAGCAGGTTATGGCGGTTCATAAAGTCCCTCTGCACCTTTCCAAAGAAGTATATAAAGATGGACAAGAAGCAGATGGCCGTCTGGATCGCTCCCATGATGTCAAACACCCTCGCCGGACCCTACATCATTCCACACTGTCAGCAACCACCACCACCATAAACCCCCCCCCCCCCCCCCCCCCCCCAAAACCACAAAACCCAGCTAGAAGGGAAAGCGCAACAACTCACATCCGCATAAACCCACCCCACCAAAAAATACGTCGCCCCAAACGCAAAAAAGTTCTTCAGCAGCAACACCGACACCAGCATCTCCACACTCACATCCCGATGCGCATCCAGTATATACGCAAACGTGGCGGTGCAGCTCATGACCACGGCGAACGTGAGGAAGCCATACAGCACCGAGGGTACGATCCAGTGCAGGTGCATCTCGGCGACGTGGCCGTAGGCGTAGAGGCCCGGCAGGCCGAAGAGCGCGACGGGGATCACGAGGAGCACGCGGAACTCGGGCTCGTAGACGTTGTTGTTGCGCCGGGCGAGCGCTTTGGCGAGGTGGTCGCTGAGCAGGCTGCCGGTGAAGTAGGCGATGACGGCGCCGAGGAAGGGGGCGGCGTACATGTAGCCGAGTTGCTCCGGGGTGAAGTTTGTGGGCGGGCCGGCGAACATTTGGGCGAGGACGACGGAGACGGCAATGCCCTGGTGGTGGTGGGGTTAGTTTGGGATTGGGATTGGAGGGGAGGGGAGGGGGTGGGGTGGGGGTGGAGATACGGACCCAGGTTATGAAGGAGCCTTGGAAGAGGAAGCCCCAGATGGTGGCGGGGTAGAGGAAGAGGGCCAGCGGGGCGAGTAGGAGCTTGAAGAAGTTCTCGTCCGAGAATCTGCCATTGTACAGCTTCAATTCCTGCAAGAACGTCTTCTTCACCTCTGCGCCATTCCCGGGAGACACTGGCTCCACAGGTGCCTCCGAAGCATCAGTATTGGCCTCCTTCGCCGCGGCATCAGGAACTGCGGCAGCATTGGCCTGGCCAAGATGCTCGTCCAGGTCGCTCAGGTTGTCCTCGGAGGCGTAGTCGGTGTTGAAGATGGCCGGCCTGTTGTATGCGTGCTCCGGCACCAGGAAGAAGATCAGGAGCACGATGGGGCCCAGGAAGGCGCTGATGATCTGGAATTGCGCGCGCCAGCCGTGGTGCATGGAGATGTAGCCGCCGAGGACGGGCATGAAGTAGGTGCTTCCCAGAAAGCTCAAGTTGTAGAAGGCAATTCTCTTGCCTCTTTGGTGGACCTGGCGCTCATGTCAGTGTCTTCTTCATTGACATCAATATTGTATAGCTTTGTTTGTGAGCTTACAAAATACATATCCCCAATCGACGAAGGAACAATTGTTTCAAACGCCCCAAGCCCCAGACCCTGAAGCACCCTTGCGCCCAAGAAGCTATCCGCACTCGTCGCGAGCGCATTCCAGATCCCGCCAATGAACAGAAGAATGATGGAAAACAGGTAGACCGGCCGCTTCCCCCAAACCCGGGCAAAGGCAGAACCGACGAGTCCAGCAACAGCGGCCGGCCAAAACTGCCAGCCGGCGAATCTGGCCACGACGTGGTAGGTTGTGTTGAATTCTTTGACCAAAACCGCATTGATGGGGGCTACGGCGGGACCAAGGACTCCGGCTAGAATCGGACGTTAGTAAACGTATTGGGACATGTTAATGTTATAGGTCGTTGGGGCCAATGACTTACCAACCGCTGCGGCGAGACATAGAATCACTAGCGTGAGATCACGTTTCCACAGGGGCCAGTTCTGCACTTGTCGTTAGCATGATATGGAAGTCCCCATTCATCGCGGGAGCTCATACCAGCGGGTCGTTGGGCGAGTCTGAAGGTTGGGGAACAAGTAACATGTTGCTATCTTTCCCAGTTGCACGCTTCAGATTGATTCTCTGATTTGGCGACTCTTCGGACCTTTCGCCCTCGTATAATTGAGTAGTGCCCGGTACATGCCTCAAAGGCTTCGGTTCGTAGATCCACATTCCCATCTTGAATTAGTTCGTATGCGGCGGTTGTTGTTGCTGTCGGCAAACGATGGAGGGGGTGCAGTGGTGGTTAAGTAGTGGGTGGGTATAAGAGGTGGCTAAGTTCATTTTTCTAATTTCTTTTCATTTTTTTTCCCACTTGTTAAGAAAAAAACTATCAATCTTCCTGATAATGGCTGCCTTCCTGATAATGGCTGCCACTTCTCTTATTGGTACCCGTTCCAGGGATGTTCTTCCGGGTATTTTTGAAAAAAATCGGCATGCTGAAACGCAAAGCTGTATGAATATCCTGATGCATGTGCAAACCTGCAGGAGTACTGTATGTTATACCAATGGCTACTCTAGCTCAATAGAGTGCAATATCTACCTGGATACCCACATGAGGAAAGGCTTCAATCCCATAAAAGAGTCTCAATGTTTGTTTTCTACTCTGTCGGGGGTCCTAGTTCACGTTATCCTCATACACACATGTATCACATGTACTTATGCGGGTCTTGAAACACTAGGGCTCCCGGGTATCTTAGCGGTAGCCTGAGCTCGGTTCCTTAAGCGATTTCCCTTGTGAGAAGAATCCTCTCTCGTCTGACTATCTGATCCATGGTGTTAGGTGCTGTTAGAGTAGATCCCCCGCTCTTCGCCATCCTAGTGCCCACATGAACGTTTATTCCCAAGGGGCCCGGTCCAGGATTTCCCTCATAACCAGGAACCAAAGCAAGCGGTCTGTGCGCTCGACAAAACCGTTGCGCATGGATATTGGCGAAGATGCAATGATATCGTACGTGTTTGTGGGTGGCGGCGGCATCGTGAGTAGTGCATACCTACATTTAATTATAATAGGTATATAGAGTAGTTGATCTTAGGGACCGATTCGTTGATTTTACGGGTATTCAAGAGAAAAGGAAAAGGATGATACATACGAGTTATCCCGAGGTTTAAATTTAAGAAGACCATCTCTCCCAATCAGGGCTGCTGAAGATAAAAGCAGTCTCAATGTGATTAAACGCGAATTAGCGGTCGACACTCATCCCTAACTAATATCAATCAATCAATATCCATGTCCGTCAAACCTTTACAGACCGGACTGGACCCGGAAAGTTCATCATGACGATCCCGTCGGATCCGTCGAAACAACATGTTCTTGATTGCCTTAATTCTAACATCCATCGAAAAAGACGGTTAGTAGGCGTTCTATATTTTAATCACATCCGTAGCGGGAACCTCGCTTGAAGATATTCCTATGAGTAATTAACCTTAATCCCGTAACAAGAACGGAGGGGTGGGTACCAAGCGGTGAATAAGAGTAATAGCCGTGCGATTGCAGCTCTGGGTACTAGACAGGTGGACAACTTTAAAATGGGCCTGTCAAGTATCGTCGTACTCTACTCTACCTAGTTGCAGATGAAAGAAAAAATTTGCAGGTCTCTCTACCAATCCCCTTCATTTTATGCAGCCACAGATACACCATATTGGCCACGGAGTATGATATATATTGTAGATACACTTGAGGTATCTGTGTAGAAATGATTCTAGCAAGAGTCGAAAAAGATCCCTGGCGAGATTTAAGAGAACGTTCTTCTACCAGGGATATGTATTAATTAGAGGGATGTCGTCTCTGGATGTCGATCACTTCAGGGTTTACCTTTAGCGGGAGTTGTAAGCGATGCAGCCAGTACCCTGTAGCTATCCGTTTCCCTGCAGTAGCTACTGATGGAACAAATAGACATCTCTACATGACCGCAATTATATTGCCGTGGCAGAAATAAACGAGATTTCGGTGAGAATAGAAGAAGGCTGATAACAAACTTTGGTGTTTTCCCCAAATATATCGAAACTCCAGCACTCGTAAATAGATCTTTCAAGCTATGATGTATTCGCCGAGAACCAGCAGACTTCAGGGATAACTGGCCTCGCAATGGTTCCCGACAAGCGGACTCTCCAGGGAATATCCTGACAGAAAGCTTAACTAGAATCCTCGGGAATATCACCGGCAACGGATAGCCTGAATTCCAAGGTATTTGTAGAGCATGTATTGACCGTAATTCCCGGCCCCGGGAGGATTCACACGGGATGATAGAGCTAGCAGTACCTTGGTACCATACCGTGGTAGTCGATGCCTGGTACCATGGTGCCATCGTTGCTAGATCCTTTAAATTTAGAAAGCCCCCCTTGCTCGAAATATTGGAAAGATACATGTACATACCGTATGAAAGTAATTCGCGTTATCTCGGATCCCTTACTATCCCCCCTCTATCTATTGGTGGGCCGCCAAAGCATATGATATACCGGATAAATTCTGCAGCAGTTTATAAATGCGTGATGAAAAGTGAGAAGTGGGCCTTTTGAATCAGAATCAGAATCAGAATGTCAGTGTTTCCGGTAATCATCTACTCCGGCCCCCGCTACGTGGCTTACAACCACCGAATAAATTTCGAAGTGTCTCATTCGATAGTAGCAATACCATAGTTCAGGATGATTGAATTGTTGATATATCTGTAATTCGTAACCTTGGCACAGATGATTAGTAGAGGTACTAGTTTTAATGGTTGAGTTTCAAGCGATAGGTTAATTAGTGTAGGTACATGTACTCAGTAACCTACCTCTTTAATTTTACAATGTCTTAGATCAGTCCAAGAAGTATGTACATACGCTTCAAAAGGCGTGACTTCGATAAGGAGATAGCTGTCACTCTCGCGTGGCATGGAGGCATGAAATACTGCGCCGCAGCTGCACTATTCATCTCTCGCCTACACCACAGGCCTAGAGTAGGCCGATCGAAACAGAGAGGGTGGTCACAAAAGTCTCAGTTCCCCGCACAGTCAGACTTTTGATATCCGGCGAGTGAGAAGACATGACCAACACGGCAGGCCGATCAACAGGTATCTTTTGCCGCAATGGCCCCCAAACTGAATGTCTCGGATAGCTGGAAGTCATGCAAAGAATTGTTTCTGGGATATACTCAGCTGGGCTGTGGTAAGTGTTTCTAGACTGAAGATAGTCCAATTATCAACATCTCACCCTCCTCAAAATACTCAGAGCCGATCGATGGCTTGAATTTATCACAAGGACGAAATAGACTCCGGAGTACAATTGCCTCGAGACATTCCCTCTAGTTTCACTAAGTGGCCTCGTGGGGCCTCAAGCGTCAATATTTCCGTACGAGGTCAGTACAGGCTTTCCTTCATTCCTTAGCATAAGATGGCGATAGTCAGAATGTAGGTAGTTTAATTACATGCCTTTCGTATCATACATACTTTAAGTGCCACCAAGAACCCCGTAAAACGAGCTCCCTCACGGCTTCAACCTTATCATCATGATAATGGCTAATACAATGACTCTACTATAGATAGTAGATCGTCATCTAGATTTCACCAGACCTGCATATACGGGGAATTCTTGGTTGGATACACCACTACAAAGATGCAGCGACCAATCAACGGGATGAGTAAAAAAATGCCCGGAGAATCTATTCATATGCACTCGATGTAGAGTAGAGAGTACTCGAGTCTTCGGGTATCCCAAAATGTGACCTGCTCCCCAGCGATTTCTTCAGAATCCTCTGGCGAATTATGGTAAATATACCCCTATTAACGCTATAGCGCTAAGGATGAGATACAATCTCGAGGGACAATGATAAGTTCAAAATTGTATTTACTATGATATGAATTCACGGTATGGATTCTGCCAATTCGAGTCAACTCGTCGGCTATCATTTTTCAGAACACGTGGCGCTAATATCGCCAGGCTCTCCAATACAGCTGCGGATCGTATGCACTCATAAGGCATAGTACTTGAGTAAATATGCGCTAGTTTCTAAGAATGGTAAAGTTCAGATGTGGCGAGGATAGCTAGACTGTAGGCTTAACGAGATTAAGCGATGAGCATTTCTTCAGATGGAGGCCTCCGTCATCAGGTGGAGTAGAAACCATGCACGATGCACCAACCCCATATACAGTCACCCTCCGTTATAACGAACCTGCATACTCCAAAACTTCTCGTTCGATACAGCAGATTATTCGGTACAGCAGGTAAAATTCTATCATTTTCTATGTGAAATTCAGATTCGGATCACCAAAACCCGTTTGTTATAGCAGATTTGTGGCTTTTTTGGCACCCGGTATAGCGGAGGGCAACTGTACAGTACTCTGCTCTAGCTTCACAATTGGTACCGGAACAGCGAGTTTTGATCCCATACCCCCGCAACTTGGTCTCCAGAGTAGTTTGCTTACGACTTTACTTTACTTAGCGCAGAGCGTGACAGCGGCGCTTCTCACGATTTGGTAGAGCGGCGGTTTAGCGTTAGGACAACACACATTACAGCGATAACCCTGGCCGCGATACTCTGCTCTAGAGTGCTCCGAGTAAAGTAGATATGCGAGAATTTTAGATGGCGCATATTAATTAGACCCTGGTCCACGGGAGATCTCAGGATATCTGATTCGTCAGGCCCCGGTTTTGAGCCAGAATACTGGGCTCACATATTGGGAGGGAAACGTGTATCGCGCATGTGCTCACATACGCCCTGCAATTGATGAGACAATAGCAGGATATTATTGGAGCTAGTCGTTTGTGAAAAAGCATACGGTATGCTAATTTTTCTCGATAAGCAGGTATAAGAAAGGCAAATGCCCCACCTCTGGGAGGTGTACCTTTGGACGGAATACTGTCTCGTATGTCCGTGGCAGCACTCAGCGCAATGGATACCCATATTATCATCAAGCAATATGCCGAGTGGGCCTCACTAGCGAAGACATGGCTCTTATCACTCTCAAAACTTGAAGCTTTCATAATCTTAACCTCTTTATGGACTGTCTACAGAATTGGGGTTTACACATACAGATTGTTCCTTCATCCGCTCTCGAAATACCCTGGGCCTAGGCTGGCGGCAGCGAGTTCTGTGTATGAAATGTATCACGATGTGAGTACATGTAGATACCGCACCTTCGATATAGATGGTTATACTGAAACTTTTAAATTTAGATTGTTAAGAAGGGGGATATGACGTTCCACATGGACGAGTTGCACAGGAAATATGGTGAGTATAATGAATAAAGTCACTCGACATACCAAGCAATGCTAACGTACAGAATTTAGGACCCATTGTCAGAATTTCCCCGAATAAAGTTCGTCTACGGAACTCGAACGCTTTTCATGAGCTCCACAAAGTCGGGTCTCCTCTTACCAAAGATCCCGGCTTCTACGGTCTTTTCGGTCTCGCAAACTCTACTTTCAGTACAATCAACCCTATTATCCACAGGAAACAGCGCCGCGTTCTAGACCCGATGTTCTCTCGGCGTAGTATCTTGGGCTTCGAGAATGTAGTCCAGGAGAAATGCGACCTCCTATGCTACAAGATTAGGGAGCTTGAGCAAGCGGACTCTAAGGTCAATTTCCACAACGCATTTGTAGCACTCACGATCGATATTGTTACCGAATATGCATACGCCAAGTCTTACAAGTAAGGATATGAGTTGACTTGCCCCCCCGATCATTACTTCATTGCTGACTGGCTTTCACACACACAGTACCCTATCAAACGAAGGATTTGTGTCGAAAGTTGGGTCTGCATTTGACGCTCAGCAGGAAGCATTCATGGTCTTGAAGAGCTTTCCAATCATTGCAAAGACTTTCCAGAGCCTGCCTCCCTGGCTACTAATGAAGGTTTTCCCAGACGGAGGTAAGGACCAGCTAACCCCCCTTCATGCATACAATCAACTGATGATCTCTCAATTATTATACAGCTGGATTCAGAGAGCTCGAGGTTGATGCCGAAGAACAACTGAAAACTATCCTCGAAAAAACCAGAAACGGAGAAGTCAAGACTGGCCACAGAACTGTCTTTGTAGAGATGCTGGAAGGCTACCACGACCCGAACCCACAGGATCTAGTCCACGAAGCTGTTAGTGTAGTAGGTGCAGGCATGCACACCACCCGCTGGATCCTTTGTGTTGGTGCTTTGGAGGTAGCGAGAAATCCTGAAGTCGCGTGGAAATTGTACGAGGAATTGAAGACAGCGATCCCGAACATCAACGATAATTTACCATATGAACAGCTTGAAAACCTACCTTACTTGGTATGACCCACTCGAATATCATGTCCTCTTTAACCTTACTAATTCCTTGCGTGCAGAGGGGTGTTGTTAAAGAAGCTTTGAGGCTTGGATATGGCATTGTTTCTGCAAGCCCCAGACTAGTGCCTCGTGAGGGAGCTGTGATCGGTGGTTATCATCTCCCTAGAGATGTAAGTCATCATCCCAAGACAATTTATACAATTCTGTACCAAGCTAATATCGCGGTCAGTCCGTGATTGAGATTGATCACTACTCCGTTTCCCATGACGAAGAGATCTTTCCAGACTCATACACATTTTCCCCAGAGCGTTGGCTTTCACCTGAATCAAAGACCAAGGAGAAATACGTTGTTGCTTTCGGTGCTGGTAGCAGACAGTGTCTAGGCGTCAAGTAAGTCCACCATAATTGAAGTTATATCTATGCAACTGTCAATATACTAACCCAAGAATACAGCCTTGCTTACTGCGAGTTGTACCTGGCCTTCGCCGGAATCTTCAGAAGATTCGAGCTGGACGCTGTTGGCCACGACCACATGGCCTTCTCTGACCACTGGATGCCTATTTTGAGAGGAGAGAGCTTCGCCTGTAAGGTTCGGTCAAGACAGGATTAAAGGTAATCCATGCGCGGTGATTTCTTTCTGCGGCGTTATTCTTGTTTTTCCATTTGGGGCACAGTTACATGTATCCAGGTACTTTTCTAGCGGGGTTGGTTATGTTTTTTTTTTTTTTTTTTGGGGGGGGGCTTAGTCAGGGTTAGGGTTCCTCTGTAAATATATCTTTTGAACTTTTACCAAGGGTTCTTTTGTCTTTCTTCTCGGTTATCGGGTCCTATGAGATGCAATGAATATTGTTATACGAAGAATAAGCATTCGAGGCGTCCTTGGCCCACTCGTGATTACTCGATCTAGCTGCGGACGTGCGAAGGGTAAGCATGAGCCAGCATCCATGTCCCACCAAACTGTCACGCCGCTCGCCCGCACACATGTATCCGGGATACCCGATTATAGGTACGTCACTCTGTTCTATGTCCTCCGTGCTCGCATAAATGCCGTTTTTGCACCTCCACACACCGGTGTGATCAGTAATTGATCATGAGCAGACATACATGTACGGGCAGTGTATGGTACTAGCTCCGCCAATCTACAGGGCTGGCAGCTGGGAGGATTTTGAGTCTCAAGATACGCCGTGGTCTGCATGATGCAGGTTTAGATTTCTCGCGATCTTGTGTCAAGGCTTTGAGTTAAAGTTAACGATTCGTTAGTTGGTCATGGGTTATCACTCGCAACGCAGCTCGGTGGCGAAGAGTTCATTTTTTTTGTTTTTTTTGTTTGATTCATTAATTGCATGCAACCATTGGCGAAGAGTTAATCAGGTGCTTCATAAAGGAGAGTCTATATTCATTTCTTTAGAATATTAACATATGTTAGCCTATTAAATGCCCAAAAACGCCTTGAACCTCTATCTAAAAATGCATCAGACCCTAATGTCTATATAACCCGATACCCAAAATTCAACACAAAGTCTAAACTCCAAAAAATGATAACACCCAAGAGAAATTACGCCGTGCCTCTAGGAAACCTAGACCCGAGCTTATTAGGTTGGCCCACTACCTTTTAGGTCTTATTCGCCATTTTTAATGTTTTTTAGGTTTTTTCTGTCGCGTCGGGTGTCAGTTCAGACATTCTTTTGGCTAATCAAACCAGCGCAAATAAAGGTGATTCAATACATACCGCAACTGTCTTCTTCTTATTCGCAACAGGCTGCGCCGTCTTGCGCGCGGCAGGTTGTGCTGTTTTCTTCGCAGCAGGTTTCCCCTTCTTCGCAGCAGGTTTCCCCTTCTTCGCAGCAGGCTGTGCCGTCTTCTTCGGCGCGGCTTTTCCCTTCTTTTTCTTGTTTGAGAAGGTGTTCTTGAGAGAATTTACTTGCTTCAACAGACCGATGCCCTTGGAAAGTGTGCTTTTAGTTTTTGTTGGTGCGAAATTTGGCGCCGTTTTCCCTCTGCTATCTTTGATAGGAAAACACTTTGAAGGGAGCGGGAATTTTATTGCCTAGAACGCTGTCAGTTTCGACCCAAAATCATTGCGGGGATGCTATATATCTCACCCAAAGCAACTTCTCTGAAAAACTTCCCACAGTCATTGTATCTTTCCCTGCCACAGCCACCAACTCAATGTTCGCATCACTCTTCATTGTAACCCCAGTTGGACTTTTATTCTTGTTCCCTGCACAAGCCGGCTTTCCATTTTTATTTGTGACCGTTTTGAGGTCGATTCCAATGCGCGGTAGCCTTAGCCTAAACCCCGCATCATAGGAACCCACACCTATGGCAGAGACACCGACACCGAAAACGAGGTTGGTGCCGGTATCGAACCTCATGTCGATAGCGCCGCCGTTAAGCTCAAAGGGAAGAGGGGTGATTTTGACACCGTTCCATTTGCCAGATTGGCCAGGGGTGTTTTTGTTAAGAAGGTCTTTGCGAAACAGGGCGTTGTTTGGGACCTAATAGAAGGGGGAGAAATGTTAGTTGGGTGAGAGGCTAGAGGGGAACGGAGGAGAGACGTACAGATCCTGTGACGCCGAAAGAAAAGTCGGCATCGGTACGGACGTTGGATTGAAAGCTAACAGTTAATTCCGCTTTGGGCCCAAGGCCAAAGACTCCCGGAATCTGATACACAGAGCTTGTCAATGGGAGCTATCCTATTTCAAGGCGGTATGTCTTACATTAATGGCAGGGAGGTTCATTGAGTACACATCCTTCTCGAACTGGAATGCTGGATTCGTGGCATCATTCTTCTGAAGAAAAACCCTGAACTTCATCGTTGTGCCAATGTCCTTTGGCCTTACTTCGAATATAGCGGATTTGGGGACAAATTGCACAAACTGCATGTGATTAACTCGTTAGCAGTTTTCGGGGCTAGAATGTATTGGGGGCTACATACCTGCATATTACCAGACATTAAGATTTTACCGGTTACGTAGCAGTTGAGGCAATCAACGATTTGTGCTCTATTTGGAGGTGATTAGCAAGAGTCGAGTAATGATGGATTAATATATTTACCCTTGGTTCCCCGTGTAGATATTCTTCACCACGTTCGCCTTCCCAACCGCAATGTTGAGACTGAGACTATCTTTCCCAAGCTTTCCAGTCCCTATTTTGCCAACCCCCTTCTCAACTGCTTTAACAGCCTGACCGAGTTTCTGCTTTGCCTTATCAACCACACTTACTACCTTATTCTTAACCTTATTAAATGTATTCTTTGCCTTGTCAACAATGTTTGTAACACCCTTTCCAACGTTATCCGCGGTCTTTTTGATATCTTTGCCGATATTTGTCACTGTTTTCTTGATCGCCTTCCCTGCACCATCAAAGGCGCCCTTGATCTTGCCAAAGAGATCAAATCCCCGTTTCTCTAGCGGTCCATAAACCCTATGCTCGTCATTATCTTCATTGCCGTATTCCAGCCGCATCGTCCCGAAATCCATGGAATACGTTCCCGCAACCTCCGCCCACTCTGTCTGCACGGCATAGAAGTCTACCCTCAGCGCCTCTTCCACATAGTCCACCTTCCGCACCCAGAACACTGCACGCTGCGCTGCAGGGCCACAACCTTCATGATTCGTGATCATAACAAACTGATTATCCTCGCGTTCGTTGATCCAGCTCCAAATCTGGATATACGAGAACACTTCCTCGTCCACCAAGGTGACGGAGAGCTTGTGGTCGCCAATTGTGGAACAGTCGACATCCGAGGTAAGGCCTTCAAATTTCTCCATCAAGAGGATTCGGGAATTTTCAGGCGCACTGAGGGTCAGGTTTGCGACGAAGAAGGTTCCATCGTCTGTCGAGGTCAGAATCGGGGGTCATGCCGGGGTGGATGGAGGGTGCGTACCAAGCGGGATGCCATACATCATCAATTCCTGATCAGATGGAACCAGCCTCGAAAAGTCTTGAAGTGGTGGGACTTCAGAACGTCGGTTGAGACCATGCATCAGCGGGTCTATCCGGATAGGTCGAAGTTCATAGGTTGTAGTTGGGAGGTTTCCGCCACTATTGTTACTTGGCACTCCACCCTCGAGCTCACGAGGATATATTGTTCTCGCATTTGTGCGCAGTGTTAAGAAACTGATCAAAGTCGCCAAGGTGAGAAAGAAAGTCGTGGAAAGCATTCCTGGTCTCAGACCATAGGAGTACATGTAATTACGATAGAATAGAAAATAAAGAATGCAAAGCCTGTCGCAAGCGAAAGTCCTACCTGAGGTTTGAAATGTAGATGAACTGTTTCCTGGGTGGGAAATTGAAACTTTTATTCGTTCTGGAACTCCTAAACATATGGTGTAACTTGCACCGGATTATTGTTGCCAATCCTGATCCAAAGCACTGTCTGTGACAGGCCCGGAGAGTATCTGTTGAATTGACATTGCCCAACCTAGTAAGATACAAGCCCTAGGGCGGGATTCAGCGTAAGATATTCGTACCAAAGAATTAACAACACCTGCATCTGGTGGTTGTCAGCTAAAAGCAGGGATCACGAGCATGTAATGGTTGTTTGGGGTGACAAGTGACTAAGTAGAAAACGCTCACCGAGAGATGTGTGCCGGAAACGCCTCTGACGATCGTGCAAGAATAGGAAAGTCGCTCTAAGTGACCTATTCTAGAACTGATTCCTAAGCGTTATGCCTGCAAGATAATATCCTCTCAAGAAACCCTGAGCCTAAGCCGGTCGCAATCGGGAAATTCGTCTTGTGCACCACTCCCTTCCCTGCATGTACAGATATAGTGGATCGAACCCAACCTCAACTTCATGAGCCTCGTTCCTCTCTAAAGCCTGTAGTCACACAATTATTTTGTCACCCACACGTTCAAACGGATACTCTTTTCTGGCTCTGCCACATTATGAATCACGGTAACCGTGGTGATCACAGCGCTTTCTCAAGCATAAATGGTCGCGAAACGTGGTACGGGAGACGGGATTACAGCCTATAGGCGTCAAATCCACGTCTTGTAACATCATTTAAAAGATTATGCTTGCCTCCTCGAAGCCTTTGCTCCTGGGCTGAGCAACCCGCTGGAATACCACGGTACTGCTTGATTAGAGTACGTCCGTGCCTCTTTACTAGCCTCATGAACACAGGATACTGGAGACGAGTTTCGTGAAAGTCCTGATTCTGCTCGTTGCGGCCCACGAAGCGAAATGCAGGAGGCTCGCGTTTTTAGAGGAAGTTTCATGGCGAAATACATGTAGTTATTGAACCACAAGTCTCCCATTAACCATAACGTTAATCCATAGTTTCCCGGGGTCATAGGGGGATCGGAGAATATTGTTAATTTTGATGAGTAAACAAACTAAACATGAAAAACAGTACTTATAATGGTGAATAGAATAGTTATCCACTTGCATCTCGTTTTCGTATAGTCAGGTCTAACTATAAGACTTTTCTTTCTGCCGTGAGACTGCATGTACTCGGAAACTTAAGACTCGGACACAGTCTACTGAGGTGGATTTATAATGGGCTGAAGAGATTAGATGCATGACCGAAAGCACATATGTGGCAGGTATAGGTAGATAGATTCAAGCATATAGTGGGGCGATATAACTCCATTGGAAGGTGATCGGACTCGGAAGAGAATACTCAAAAAGGTCAAGAAGGCACAGAAGGTAACCTTTGAGATATGAAGGGTAGGCTGCAGACAGATGTGATTAATTCGTTAAAGAATGACCGGTAGATTTAGAAGAAGATGGGTCGAACTCTTCCAGGTACCTCATGACGGCTTTTGGCTCACTGCTCACGATCCCGTCCTCATTGTATTTGCATCTCCCTGCCTTCCATCTCCATAACAAGAGATTGGTGGGCCATGATGCACTTCGTCGTGGTAGATTGTGATGGCGGGGTTAGGTGTTCCTACTAGCTAGCTAGCTCGTCTTACCTGCACGCCCTTAAGCATTACTTCCAGTCTATACTGAAGCTTGGGTTGGCGGGTTGGCCTAGCTAGGGGTAGACAGCTCGTCTTGGAGGAACACCGAAAATATATTCCTCGGCCAGAAGTTCTGTTTATTTCTTTCATTTATTCTAAAGTTTACTCCAATTATCTGGAGCTTATTGTGTTCTAGATCTCCTAAGCTCTCTGGCTCCTTCACGTGGGTTAGGTGTGATGTCGATCTCTCCGGCCCATAATCGCAGCTTAGACCATCGTGACTTCTCCTATGATCGAGCCTTGCTCATTACATAAAATTAGTTGGTTTCACATCTTTCCCCCCATGAGCTCGTCGGTAGATTCTACTCAACTAACGGTCAAGGCTGGACGTAATGTGAGGGTTTAGAAACGCAGACAGGAAAGAATATCACAGATCTTTTACCCGCTTGAATTCATGAAACTAATGGCATAGGTAGGAGCGGGTTGGAGAACTGGAGAGACCACTGATAAGCTCCGGAGAGTTTCAGGAAATACACACTTGTACGGTTCTTGATTTATCTCTTTACATCTATCCCTTAAGCTGGCATGCTGACCCCCCTATAACAGAGGAACTAGATTTGTATAGGAGATCTATTATTTGATAAGGGAGATAACAGGATCTGTTAGTAAAGCCACATAAAAGTTTGCTTTTTTTGAGAGGTCAGCATTTGTTGCCAGCTTAAGGGATAACAAATTAACGAATTAAAAAAAAATATATATATCTATAATAGCTGGTACCTTACCCGAGTGAGAATTCATGATCCATCCCCGTTCATTTTGATCGAGCTCGAGGGGTTTCGGTCCCGGCTGGTGGCTGTGGCTGTGTAGCCCTTAGCAGTACTATGGAGATTAGAAGAGGTGTGGGGGGATTGGTATTTTATAGCAAGAATGACCTGCGACAAGGCCAGGTGAATATGTAATTTTGACCGCTATTACGATAAGCCAGTATAAAACACTCGATATTCCGCAGAACAAAGAAACAAAACACCTCGGATTAACTCACAAAAAAAAACTAAGACTTAATTTTGCAGTTGACTGTATCAATCTACAACCCATCCCATTATTAATAACCATTACCATTCATTAGCGAATGAAACCTTCCAAGATCTTCACTCTACCAAGTAACATACATTTTCCACTATTAATATATCCCAAAACCCACATTACACCTGATTTGAATCATCTCCATCCTCAACCTCACCCCCAATCAACCCTCAAAATTCATCACACACTCCGGAGTCCCACAGAGACAGCTTATTCCCCTTTAGATGAAATAGCCGCGGCCGTAACTGACAGTAATCTCCTCGAAAAGCCCTATTTCCCGCAGGGAAATCACAGACGGTATCTCCTTATCTGGAAGCAATAGACAAGTCAAGGCGCTGTTGGGATTACAAGAATGGTTGATGAAACGAGTCCAATTACCTATTGAGTTTTGACATATATAGAAGATCGCGAATTAGTTGCATGGCATAAAGATCTTTGGCCGCTCTGTAGTAAAGAAGAAGGGTTCAAAAGAGTCCAAACCCTGATAAATACTTGTGATACAATAATATCTGCTGTCGTTTACAGCATGGGGACCATGGAGGACGTATGGGTGATGGAAAACGATTTCCTTTGTGATATATCCGGCATATTCTGCCAGAATCATACCGCCCTCGATTCTCTGGGAGGCAACTATTAGCAAAAACTGGATAGAAGTAGAAGCGCCGAAATACGTACCTGTAAACTCCGAACTCCAACCCCTTTGCCTTTGGTCTCAAACAGCTCTACAATGGGTTGCCTGTTTTGAGGCGCGGCATCACAGGTCTTCGTGCTAGCTGGGATAAACATGTCACATCTAGCCCCACCAATATCTTTCGAAGGGTCGATCATATTCGAGTGTGGATCGCTGTTCACACGAGGATCCGTTTCAGGCGTAAAATCATGGCCAAGTACTGAATGCTCAATTGGCATGTATGGAGTAGCGAGCATATGGGCATCGCTTTTGTCTATCGACACACACCACCGGAGTGGATGAAGCTGGTGTCTCACCGCCATTACGTCGAAAACGTCATTTGGATCCTTTTGAATGTTTAAAATGGACGCATAGTGGTTGATCCATCCATTGGAAGCTTCAGACACTCTGGAGAGGGAAAGGTCACTGCTGATGTCCAGACTGATATACGGCAGTTCTCGCAACATCTTTACAAGTAGAATACCGTACTTTAGTCGTACGGTCTTGAAATGAGCTCGAATGAGCCCTTGTTTTCTCCGATCAATCGGCTAAATTTCTCCCACTGGTCTGGATCGAGGTGTTTGGCGGCGTGCCGAAATGCGGTAGAGAGGGTGAGGAGGGTAAAACGGGCCCATCCAACGGAGCTCACACAGGAGAGGTAGCGGCTGCATCTTGTAATCAAGTCTGACACGGGTTCATTTGGTGCCATAGTCCCACCACCGAATCCGAAGGCCTGTGGGGTGACTCCTCCAGAAATAGAGGCTAGCCAGAATGCACCAGCTATTTTATAACATATTCTCCCCGTATTTAGTAATTAGGCAGCATTATGATCGAACAAGATGAGTGGTAAAGCTTACTCAACGCTTCATTTGCATTTGCAAGCTCAGATGTAGCAATTGCAGATATCAAAACACTACCTCTACCTTCGAATCTCCCGCTCGAAAGAGCTTCCCTCTTTGCAGCATCCACCAATTTCAACGTATCAGCGGCCGTCCATCCTAGGGTTGTTTCGACTTGAATGCCCGTATATAGGTCTTTAAAGACTTTCTCAAGCTCGAACTCTGCAATTGCAATTGAGAGGTCTGATATAACCTGATAATAAGGGAAAGTGAATTGGGTCTCGGTGGTATCGTGTTGCGGGTTCGGGGTGGTGCTAGTTACGGGTAGATGTGAATCCATTGATGCCCTTGAATTTGGAGATTTTCTTGTTATGGAGATAAAGGTGTTGTTTCAGGATGACAGGCCGGAGGAAATATATGTTTCTACGTTGCCTCTGAGTGCTATACTATGGTGGCCATGGAGCTAGGATCGAACCCGAAGGGGCTTGGCATTGAGCCCCCAATATCCACGCAAATCGAGGCTCTTGAATTCTGGTCTCTACTCATTTCCCGTAGACATGTTAGAAAAAAAAGCGGGGGATGTTTCTTCATGAGGGACCGAACGAGTTCTGATGTCTCGTGAGAAACCGAGCGAGTTTTCATGATAGGAGAATTTGACAAGGGTAAATATTCAATACATACGTGTACTTTTGGTGCGCACGTTACAACCCCACGAGGTGACTTCTCAAACGCATCATGTTACGGAAAAGGCATTTGCCGAAGGATGAGGATATTGAGATTAGTTACTAAAGTCTAGTCTATCGCCAGCTGTAAAATCTCGAAAGATCTGAGATCAGCCTCAGAGCCAGCGAATTCGAACACCGGCACAAAGATATATATGCATGTATGAAAGTGTCTACAAGCCCTCTAGTTCACAAGTATCAAACTCACAAGATTCACCAATGTTCCTAGAAGATTTTCTTCGCCAAGCAATTTATAGTGAAAGTTAAGGAGTAGCTTCATGGTGAAGAATTCAATATCTAGCCTTTGATCTTAGCTAGTCACTTTAATTTGATAGTAGGTATGAAATCGCTGTAGCTTCAATCGGAGGACGACTCCCAGGGACGACTTCCAGGCACGGAACTACGGGCCCTAGCCGATGTTTCACGGGCTGAGCCGGGCCCTACCTACATATATTTAACCCCGGCCGACCCATGTCACCCTCTGGATTCAATGACATTGCTGCAGACGACAATTTTAGGCATACAGAAAAGCCCGAGTATGAGTATCAGAAGTTAGAGACTAGAAAGAGCTTACACCGGTTCGACATTTCGAACACATCAACCAGAATCGAAACGTCTAGAACCGGAATCATGCAAGAAAGTCCATTAAGCCAAAGTGAGGGGTTCTCGAAAGGGCCACATACAAACAGAAGAGCAGAAGAGAGCAATCGAAAAGCCCCAGGACCATCAGTGGAGAGGGCAAGTATGCGAAGCCCGGAATCCAGACAGCAATCGTTAGTCATGTTTTTTTAAACTTTCGCCAACTGGCTATAATAAAACACGAGAAGTGGATTGGAGCTAGAACTGCTCGACGTCGATAAAAGTTTGGACCTAATGTGGTCCACGATGCCACCACGAGTGTGTGTGAAGGTCAATGAATTGAGTGACTGCCTCGTGAAGGTCAAGCATGATTGTCTTTCTCGGGGGCGAGAGCGAGTATGCGAGTATTGAAGCCATCGGACCAAATTATAACTATACATATGTAATTGAAGGCACTCCAACATGTATACCGTCAAACCCCTCGTTTATATGAATAAGATTGAACCCCTATTACAATTATGAAAAGCATCACCAGATAGTGCTCCAGAATAGTTCCACCGGAAGTGACCGATGAAACATGCCGTGCGCCAAGACTTATGAAACCGATGTTCATGCTCCCCCGACTGTCCCTATGTCAATTAGAGGTATCGTTCGATTATACACGATGGCAATCCGCGGTGTGCGAGATGTGCGATTTATCAACGAGATCTCAAGACCTATGAATCGCTTCCTGCGAAATAAGTAGTTGGGATGAACTTTGTCGGCCGAATTCGCGAAGCGGGGGACGCTGACTGATGACATCGTAATCTGATAGGGATTTGTAATTCCCGAATATTTTGATGGTAGGACCGCTAGGTCTTGCCTCCCATGATTTCATGAAAGTGTCGGTGTCGGTGTGCCGGATCGGAGGTACTTCCGGTTTACTCATTTGGTCATGGTGTATCACTCGATATTCCATGAGATCGCGCAACGTCCTGGGGCGATAATCGGTTAGCATATGTGTTAGTTTTGAGATCACTCTCAGGACAATGGAACCTTCAGGCCCAGATAGCGAGACCTCGATCACCAACAGCCTAATGACTCTTTCGAGTATATTCAATTCTGTAGAGTACACCGTTAATTGCCTTTTGCAACACTACATGTACTCACAGTATTGTATCTCTGTCATCCTCTAAAACGGTGTCATCAGGACATGATTATCCAAAGTTGTTCTTTTGCCTTCATCTCTTTCCCAATGCGAATACGGACAATTGCTCAAAACTCCACTTAAGCTTGGAATATCCAATCCGGATCATGCACAAAATATAAAATCTTCGCAAACCAGCTCTACAGGGAACATCCACACCTTGATGGTGGCTACATGCATTGATTGTATCTGGACGGATTACAGGCGAGATCATGAGGAATTTACTCCCCTTTCTTCCCCTCGCCACGTCTCAGCACCTCATGTTCATGCGGAAGCCTTTCATTAAAAGTAATTACGAGAGAATTATCGTGCTAACTTCTAGTGACTGCAGTTAGTTAAACCTAGGTGCTGAGGTTTCACTGGGACTCTATTAGCCCGTATGAATTTTTTCCATAACCAGGTTACAACGTCCGTTTGAACTACTCTAGTCCAACCTCCTCTTTACATGGAATCGCTCCATTCGCCCAATAGAGAACCAAAGGAGCATTATCCGCTGTTCTGTCGCCTAAAGGCAGGGATCATACAAATTTTTGCTTGGCACTATATACACGGAGATTTCCTACAGCCGAGATTGGAAGGTTTACTCCTCTACCATATTATCAACGGCGTGAACTCCTTAGTTACGGGCGGAGGTCTAGTATCGCCTTCCAATATATTATTTACGGAAATTTCCATAAGAAGTGTTGCTATGATCTGTTTACATGTATTACTCCCCACGAATGTAGCTTGATATCGTTGAAAGCAGTACTAGCCGCGGCATGTTGTTCTTGGCGCGCGGTCGTTGTTCATTCAAACGCCTCCTATTCTCCTATTATAGGTAACAGTTGCCCTCATCCAACTGCTTTTCTCATTGCACACAAGGTCACTCGGTGATATTCACGCCGGTGCTAAATACTGGCGGGCCAGGGTGCCTCACGATTGTACGCCAAAATCTTCAGCTACATACTTCGTATTCGCATATGACCCAATCCGTGGCTGTTACAAGCTCGCTTGCAGCATGCAAGCCACAGAACCCCTTAACGAAGCCAAGTAGCCGTTGATGCTAAACTGTTCCAAGGCTTCACGAACATGCCTGGTACAACCGCCGTTGGTCTCGCGTCAATCTATCTCCCACGAGCATAATAGATCTGAACAAGGGTCTAGGATACTTAAATTCTCGCGTCCGGAAAGATCTGGAACAAAATTACTCTATTCATCCAAATTTAGAGTTTAGGACCATTCTTCTCATCCATGTATCGGAGGAATTTACTTCCATATTCCGTACCATGCGATCCAACCATTCGTCCGAATATCTGGAATCGAGAGTGCTAGTACGCTCCGACCCAGGCGCCAGGATTGAAATAGTAAACGTCCGATATTGTGTACGGTGGGACTACTACTATATTATTAAGGCGCCCAACCACTAATATACACGACACATAAGTCAGCTTTGGGTTTGGATCCTTGTAAAGCGCCATATACCTTAATTGTGATATGTTTGCTTCTAAGCATCCAGATTAACGGTTTATCTGCGCAAGGGTTCAATATTCTCAGGGCTGCGGAAGCTCAAATCTGACCGCACTTCAGTTCTCGATTGTGATGAGGTCTTGTCAGTAGAAATTTTACCACTATTCAATATTTATTTTGTGTGTGCTCTGTGTGATCTTTCAGTCCAGAAAAGGTACAGATTCCAATTCTCAATAATCAGATTTAATCTTCTCCAAATAGCTCACTCGGGCGACCAACTAACAGCGGTGTAACGTGAGATATCCGGAAAATTTACCTCAAGGACCGTGCTTCAAAATATATTAGCCAAGAACCTTAATCCGCTTCGAGTTCACTGTTACTCCATCACTCTACATTAGCTGAAACGGAGAGTTGAGCGCACAAGTGGATATTGAATTTCAATTCTCTTGTCTAGATCTTACCGTACCGCCGGTGCATAATGACCCGAGTGGAGAGGTCCCACCACTTCAGTTCTCCGATAGTTTGTAGAACCCAAGAAAAATACAGTACCTATACGGGTTCCATGGATATCAATAATCATAACGTCCAACAGAGGTCCGTGTTTCCTACAACAGCCACGATGAATCCATTATAAAGAGCTTCATATTCCCACCTCCAATACTTCCTTCTCTCCTCACTCACTCACACAATCATTCACCTTCACTACCTCTACTTTTATTTCAATTCACTCGCTCGCTTTGATAGCAGCTTCACTCATTCACTCTTTCTAATAATCAACTTCAGCAAAACCCGCTATCAAACCACCAACCCGAAATAAAAAATCAACATGCAGCTCACTTCAATCCTCGTTTCTGCCCTCCTCGGCGCCGTCTCTGTCTCTGCCGCCGCAACCACCACCTTCCCCTCTGCTGCTAGCAGCACCACTCTCTCCGCCGCTAAGACCATCACTGGTACTTTCGATGGTGGCATGAAGCGTTTCGGCCGTGGTGGTTAGTCTCATATCCCACCTCCCCTCACTACTACATCATGATACTAACAAATATACAGTCTCCTGCACTGGCCAAGCCGAAGGTGGTAACAAGGATGCCGTCTTCATCCTCGAAGCCGGCGCCACCCTCAAGAACGTCATCATCGGCAAAGACCAAATCGAGGGCGTCCACTGTCTCGGTAGCTGCACCATCCAGAACGTCTGGTGGGAAGATGTCTGCGAGGATGCCTTGACCATCAAGCAGTCCTCTGGCACCTCGTACGTCACCGGAGGAGGCGCCAAGAACGCCGACGACAAGGTCATCCAGCACAACGGCGGTGGAAAGCTGGTCATCAAGGACTTCTATGTCCAGGACTTTGGCAAATTGTGGAGGTCGTGCGGTAACTGCAAGTCGGGACAGACGAAGCGCCAGGTTGAGA